AAAATCAGCAAGTGATTCACAAGCTAATGCCATATTATTATAAGTAACAGCTAATGATAAATCAGTTGGAAAAAGATATTGTTTTTTCATCTTTAAAGTTTTTTCATGCGCCGTAAGTGCATTAGAATAATGTCCTAGTTGCCTTTGAACTTCACCATAATTATTATACGAAGAACGAAGTAAATGATGACCAGAAGATTGTTGTTGTTGTTGAATATCGATTGATTTTTGATAAAATGCATGTGCTGATTTATAATCTCCAACTGCATTATCAATATTTCCTAATTCAATATAGATACGTGATCGTGTGAATATATCATTTTCTGGTGTTAATTCAAATAGTTTATAATAAATAGCTTTTGCTTGATCAAAATCATCCATAACAGACATTAATTGTGCAAGTCGTAACCAACCAACTGTTTCTCGAGTTTCCTGTCGTATTATATCAGTAAGACATTTTACTTGTTCATCTTTATGTGATGTTAACGTAAGATCTATTTCCCATGATCGTTCTGTAATTTGTTTCATATCAACAATACGAAATATACTATGCATGAAAAAAATAAAAGATTTCTGTTCATCAACAGAATCACTGTCATTTTGAAAGGAAACGAAAGGTGTTGACGTACGTTTCGATTCAATTTTAATACGAAATAAAATATTAACCATGAGATTTTTTGAATTACTCTGCATGTCGTGATCAGAATCTGCTATGATAAAATTATTAAATGATAAAAGATTTCCTTTGTTATTTTTAATATTTTCAAACTCTTCATTCGTAACTTGATGATTTCGATAACAAATTATTGGTAATTTATTTGTTTTTATTGTATCCATTTGTAAAATTTCTAATTGTTGATAAAGATCTTTCATAAAAAATGCCATTTTAATAAGAATTTCGATATTTTTGGTTTCGATTGCTCGATTAAGTATAACGCGAATAAAATTAGTCATTGTATACCACCAAATCGGTGTATGTCCATGGTAATTCTGTTCAAATTCATCTATAAGCTTTAATTCATTTGTATTATTCAAATAATATTCACGAGAAAATTCAGCTAAATTTTTTAAAAGTTCTTTATGAACGTCTCTATCACATTTAAAATGAATCATAATTAATTTGACCATCATCCAATAAATAAATAGTTGATCAAGTTGTTTTAAATCGTTCGATGTGTATTTATTCGAAGGTATAATACTTATCAGAAGTGAATCATGCAAGTATTGCTTATTGTCACGTTTCACTAAATCAAAAAAATGAAATTTTTAGTAAACACACATTTGATTTTCTCACCATTTTGAGACTGAGAAGAATGAGATTTTTTATATGCTGTATAGTTAGGAACTATTATGGCTGATACTGTTGTTTCTTTATAGTCGATTTGTGTTGGGGAGACGCAAGATTGTCGTTTTGAATTGGTAATTCCCATTATTATTTTAGATGATTGTAGATATGTTGAATGTTGTCTGTAAAAGGTATTATCTTTAAAGAAGAAAGAGAGTATCCTTGCATTTTATTCTGTTTTCAACTATTACTACATCAACAAACGAACAAAAAAAGCGTGAGATTTCTATTTTTCTTTCTCACCATGAGAGGAACGACTGAATTGGTTAGAAAGTTTGACGACATGGATTATTAGTCATCTTTAAATGTTTAAAACTATTGAGAGTGATGTATACAAAAGAATGAATGACGTATGAAATCAATTATTTCGTTTCTTTTGCAATACAAATCAACACTTTTTTACTTGAAAAAAAAGGGCTTCAACATTTAATGACGCACTATACAGTTTTGTATAAAAATTCGAACGTAGAAACAGAAGTGAACAAGCTAAAAATTTTAAAAATCCAACAAATATCAAAGAGTATTGACAACGAATGACTGGAACTGAAGGAATTGCAATAGTTATTGCTAAGTTGGAGTTTCCAAAAGCGCCCGTGCCTTGGAAACCAGAGCCCATTAAACCATCAACCACGATACAAAGGTATGTTTTTCGAGGGTATGGGTGTGGATAGAAGAAGAATACAACATTCACACCCTGATGAACTAGTTAATGTATTTAAATTGAATCTTTGCCCATTTTAGATCTGGAGGTTTCTGTTGTTCACGATTATGCTTCATTATTTCGGGTTTATTGTTGCTGTTATTAGTGGGAGATGGAATTGCAGCTGGACTTTTGATTTTAAGAAAGCCAGGTAATGAGCAAGTTTTAGTAAGGGGATCCTCGATTCAAGTAGCATCAGGAGTTTTACTTGCATCGAATGAGAAGTCTCCATGAGCTTTCATATTATTGATGAATATATTCTTATGATTATGTGTAGACACTACAACGACCACAACCACGGCTGCAACGATCAACACGACAACGACCGACACGACGACTATCAACACGACAACGGTCGACACGACAACTACCAGTACGACAACGACCGATACGACAACGATCGACACGACAACTACCAGCACGACAACGACAGTCACGACAACAACCAGTACGACAACGGTAGCCACGACAACTATCAGTGTACCGTATGGTAAGTGCAAAATATAATTTAGAGAGAAGACTTACATTTTTTATAGAAACTCTAATGTTTATGGATGTACGACAACAATAAGTTGTTTTTAAGGTACATATAAACATTCTTTTATTTTTATTTAGCCTTGCTGAACAACAACTGCACCACAATATTAACTGGTCCAACTACGGTTTTAGTATACCTTTCGAATATGCAACCGTTTTCTTATACATATTATCAATACTCATATGTTGCGATATCGACTAATACGACGATGCTGCTGGTTTTGCGTCAAGATCCTAGTTTCTGGTGTCTAGATGACATTTCAGTAACGTACAACGGAGTACAGATGTGGCAAGATGGTGGTTTTGAAACATCTCCATTAACTTCATATTATACTTACTGTAATCCAAATGGTGCTACTTTTAGTGGTGATATCGAGGCCAGATGTGCTCATTCGGGCAGTCATAGCTTTTACGATGGTTCAGTAACATATTCGGATTATCTCAGCCAATCGTTCAGAACCGTGGTCGGTGGCACCTATAACATCAGCTTTTGGTTGTCCAATCTGGGTTACACTGTAAATAGTTTCCTGATAATCATTGGCGGATAGGTCGTGTAGCTATGCCTTCGTGTACGTCACTATTTCTAACTAACACTCACTTAGTTTTCGGATATCGATTTTCTAAGTATTTGTTCTTTGAATAAAAACATTCTTGAGTTATTAAATATATATGAAACTAGCGCCAGTACTCGATGATGATTCGAAGAACTCCGATATTGCAAGTTTGACATATCGGGTGTGGATATAAGAAGAATATAACACTCACACTCTGATGAACTAGTTATTATATTTAAATTGAATCGTTGTCCATTCTAGATCTAGAGGTTTCTTTTGTTCACCGTTATGCTTTATTGTTTTGGGTTTATTATTACTGTTATTAGTGGTAGATACAATAACTGCAGGGATTTTGCTTTAAAAAAGCAAGGTAATGAACAATTCTACGAGGGAAAAGTGGATCCTTTTGGGATCTAGGATCCAGAAAAGCCCAACAGTATCTATATAGTCCACTGTTGAGTCCGAAATGATTTTGACCAAAATTTAAATTTATCAGAAATTGTAAAAATTTAAAATGTTTATAAACCGGGTCGAGATTTATAAATAGGGTCAACATTTATAAACCGAGTCGAAGTTGGTAATTTGACAAGTCTAGAAATTCAAAGCTGTCTGAATGTCTACTATAAATTCGTGACACTAGTGCTTTTAAATTTAGTGAAATCATATTCCATCATGGGGATGTTATATACTCATATTGACACTTAAAATGATAAAGATAATTTAATCCCTTAGGTTTATCAATCAGTTCAAAACTCATAAACTGGTCAGATGCTTATACAATATACTCGAACTTATTTATCCAATATTTGTTTATAATCGAGTTAGATTTATAAATCGTTCATATATTTATAAATCAAGTAGATGTTCATAAATCAGGTGGATATTTATAAATCGGTCAAATATTTATAAATGGACCGAATTTATAAATCAAATCAGTATTTATAAATCTTTCTAGCGTTTATAAATCAAAAACCGATTTATAAATAGGCCCGATTCATAAATACCAAAATATTTATAAATATTTTAAATTTTTGGTTGAAAAATTTATGATTTATAAATCATTATAAATAAATCGATTTATAAATAGCCTACTTTCGGACTCAACAGTGATATAGTCCCAATAAAATTCGTTTTTTCTCCTTCATCTTAGTAGCTCATATTATTGACGAATATATTCTTATAATTATGTGTAGACACTACGACGACAGTCATTACGACAAGTGTTAGTATGGCATCTAGTAAGTCTACAATATACTTGGAAGTACCCAAAAACCATCTTGAGGGTGGGTGTGTGTACGGCTAATGGAAAGATGAGTTCACATCCACACCACTGGGATATAAGGCGTCTAATACCGATTATAGCTCACGAGTTCAAGGCTGGTAATAAAGAACAGTCGCGTAATCTGCACAGGCGCTCGATAGTTAATAAGATATTCGTTAGGACATAAAAACATCTTACTGTGTAGCAAAAACTATTCTCTGTCTGATAGTCGACTGTAAAAAGTGTGCTGATCTACATTTTTGTTATAACACATAAAACACTGTGTCTGATCAGTATTTTTCTTGAATTGTTTTTACAAACGTGATTTTCAATAAAATTTTATTTTCTAAAACTTGAAATTGAAAAAGACTAAATCGGACTACACCATCAGTAAGAGCACATTGAAATGCATATGTTCAGACTTGCGATTTATTATCACTCGAGGAAAATATATGTAAAAACCTAAAAACGGTCTATTCTTATAATTTCTACCAGTACTGTATATAGTTTGCTAATTTAATTATTTAACATTTGATGACCTAACATCCGAGCGGTTTGCAACAATACCAAATGGTTATGATAATACATGTACTAATTGAACAAATGGGACTGGGTGTGGGTGTGGGTGTGGGTATTTTATTTAACTCACACCCACACCCATCCATTTAAAAATGTTCATTGACTACAGAAAGACTACTACAAATAACTGACTAGTCACAATTGTTAACCAATAATCTTCGAGTATCAAGAAAATCATAGGCACGTGTTGTTGACAGCGAAAACTCAGTTAGGTCAGTAATGTCTATGCTTTTTCTTGGGACTTTTATGAGGCTAACGTGTTTGAATCTTAGGTAATTACTTATAATCAACACAATTTTATTGTTTATATTAAATACTCACGATTGATATAGACCGCTTGCTAAGTTGTATCGTCGCTAAATGAAATAAATCGTCTGAATCACTCACTATGTATATATATATTTAGAATGCAGAGAATGTCCTTTTACTTTATTCAACTTTCAGCTATTATTATATCAACAAACGAACAAATCACATAAAATTTCTATTTTTCTTTCCCATCATAACAGTGCAGTTCGTGATTTTGGAGAAGGAGAACGACCGAATTGGTTGGCAAATCTGACGACGCAGACAATTAGTCACCTTTAAGTGTTTGAAACTATTGAGAATAATGCACACAAAAGAATGATTGACATATGAAATCGATTGTTTTATTCACGTCGCAATACAAGTAAACACATCTTTACTTGGAAAAAAAGCGTTGCAATGTATAAAGAGAAATGAAAAAGCTAACAATACAATGAATTCAATAAACATAAAAGAGTATTGACAACAAATGACTGGAACTGAAGGAATTGCAATAGTTATTGCTAAGTTGGAGTTTCCACAAGCGCCCGTGCCTTGGAAATCAGATTCCACTGAACCATCAAACACAACACATCGGTATGTTTTTTTTCTATTTTATCTTGACGGGTGTGTGTATACGTATGGATATAAGAAGAACACAACACTCACACCCTGATGAAGTAGTTATTATATTTAAATTGAATGTTTGCTCATTTTAGATCTGGAGGTTTCTGTTGTTCACCATTGTGCTTCATTATTTCTGGCTTCTTGTTGCTGCTATTAGTAGGAGGTGCAATTGCGGCTGGACTTTTGATTTCAAAAAAGCAAGGTAATGAGCAATTCCAAGAGGGAAAAGTGGTTCCTAGGATCCAGAAAAGTTCAACAATATCCATTTAGTTTCAAAAAAAATCCTTTTTTTCCTTTCATCTAAACAGCATCTTCGACATTAGTAATTTGTCTAGACACATCAGTGTCATTTACAGCAAATAAGAACCTTTCACAAACGCTCTTATTATTGACGAATATATTTTTATAATTATGTGTAGATACTACAACGACAATGATCAGTACGACGACAGTTACTACAGCAAATGACAATATGACAACTGGTAAGTTAAAAATATGCTTAGGAGCACTCAGGAGTTGTCGTGAAGCTACCTTATTTTCTTTCTTTATGAGGTGGTAGAGAAAACGAAACCTTATTTTTCTGTGTCATTACAGCCCTATTCAACTGGCATTATAATAATAAAATTCGATAGAAACTCTTTAAGGGTGGATGCGGCTAATTTAAAGACGAGCTCGCATCTACACCCACAGGCTTAAAGCTCTTTCTAATGCACTTTCATATTACCTTATTTTTATGGAGGAAGTTTCTCTTTGACAAGCGAACCTATGACGACTGCTGACACTTTTACCTTTCTGTCACTTTCATTGTAGTAATGATATCCTATTTTTTTCATTACAGCTTACGTGCCTCTCGTAACTAAGTGCGGTGCAGCAACGTGTTACAACTTTACATCGTGTTCAAACAATACTAACTGTGCGTGCTTTTCAATAAGCATTGGGGGTGGCATCTGTGGACTGGGTAATGAAGCCTGCTCAACTCTGATACCATGCAATAATAATACACTAACTTGCGATGATTCGCAATCAGTGTGCATTGTCAACACTTGTTGTTTTGAGCCCGTCTGCCTTCCACTACCGTATGCTGGTGAAAGTGTCTGTCCGACGGTTCCATGATATTTAGGCGCGTGACATTTGTGCTCGGACACTTGAACGCAGTAACATTTGCGCGAAAAACATAAGCGCGCAAATTTTCTCTATTCTGTTTCTATTCTTTGAATAAATTATCTTACGAATATTAATAAAAAAAGATGCTCTATTTGTCATTGCTTGGTCAATTAATTTAAACGAAAAGAAATATCAGAGAGAATAATTGAATCTGATAATTATAAGCGGATTAGGGTGTAAGTAGGGGTATGAATATCTCTTCTCTTAGCCTTAACCACACCCACACCCTATATTCATTGTTGTCCTATATTGTTTCTTTAACTTTATTCAATAATGGATTGAATCGAGTGAAAAGTTGACTGTTCTCTTTTATAGCTTTATTCATTTTTTCGTCTCCTTTGTTCACTTCTTCATAACATTCCTTCATCTTTCTTTATTCGTATTCGAACAAAATTCAAAAGTTCACTTTTCAATATAGATAACCAAATGCATAAAATAAATGACAAGTTTTTTTTATTTAAGAAAGAAAATAACTAGACATACATGTTTCAATATGATTCAATCAGCATATATACTAGTCCAAGAAAGAAACTAATTGACCAAATAAATGTTTCATAAGTACGACCTGTATTACGATGTATAAATTCATATATTTTATAGAACCGTTGCTTCAGTTGACACGAAAAAAAGTTGGTTTGATCTTTTTTTCAATAGAAACAACAATTAAACATACGGAACTTTATATATAGATTCCACGACGAAAGAATTTGTAAGACCAATAGCACAAATTGATATATTTATCAGTAATCGAAAGAAACATCTATATTAATTCATGTGATTAATTTAATTCATTTTTCTCACTGGAAGATACAAGACAGTTGGGTTCTTTAAGAAATTTTGTATATCGAGGATGTCCGACACGCATATCATAAGAATCAATTGAAAGATAATGAATAATGTGCCAGGTAAAAGTCTCAATGTTTGTATTCGTTTCATCAAATCACTATAAGATTCCTAAAAGATACAAAATTAATCTAAGGAAAAATCAATTTTTTTTTCGTCATACCCAGGTGGAACAATCCGGCACGAAAACGGCGGGTTCCACTCGGAAATGGCGAGTTTCCTCAGGGATTTCGCCGAAAATTTATGGAATCCTGCTTCAGGAACCATTGTCCTGGGAAGTAAAGGCTGAGTAGTTGTTGATAAGCTGAATGTAAATTTTTTAATATTTAATTCATTCGTACCAAAAATAACCACCCTCATTGGAGTAGATGCACGATCAGAAATAGAAGAATATAAAATGGACTGAGATTTATCTGTGACTTGTCATCGTTTACCATAAACTGAGCATGATTTATTACCTTTCTTGTTCTTTGAGATAGCTTTAATTATAGGTTTTCTTTTTGAAAAAGATCAAGTCAACATCGTAAGTCGAATGAATGATAATATATAAAAATACTGCTGCACGATAATACTAAAGATCGAAATATAGCAATGGTCGTTCTTATGTAAAAGATAAAGCAAAAAGATAGTGGAATAAGTGAAGAGATGGTAGGAAAATAAATGATCGTTTACGCATATGACTCGACTGTTTATAGTATATCAAAGTGCACATAGACGGACGACGAGAGACTGTGGGCAAGGTTGTGGGTGTTGTAATTCTCTCATATTCACACTCATGTCCTCACCCACACCCTCAAGACACCATAGTGACGCCAAAGGTACTTATACACATTAGTTGATGATAATGGTAAAAAATTAAGGAAGTATTTATAGAGTAAAACCGCCTTGAGAAACATAGTATTTTATGTAATATTATATTTATTGAAAGTAATGTAAAGGAAAATAGAGTGTAATATGATGTAGAACAACATGATGAAAACAAAGAAATTTCAATGAGCGGAAGAAGAGCAGAACCAAAAACTTTCACTAAAAATATCGGGTTTAGGGCAGTTTCTCGCCGGACAGTTGCTCACTAGGATATTTGCTCGTATGGGCAGTTACTCCAAAGGGCACTTGCTCGCTAGGACACTTGCTAGTCCGGGTGTGAGTGTTGAGAGAATAGAATACCAACAACCACACCCACACCCACCCTCAAGATGCTAAACCGAAGAATTTTGCACCCGCCTCACAGGAATTAGCTATGATTGTTGATGGTGGTGGATGTACTGGTGCCATACCTTACAATACTTCCAACGGTTCTCTGTCAACAAAAAAAGGTGTTTCACCTACAAGAGTTTGATATGGTCGTGCGCAGTCGAGAATGAATATAACTGCGCTAGGTTTTTTGGTATGCATAAGTACAATGGTTTCCTCCGCATTAAATAACAACTCTTTGATATTTTCTGGAGAAATCCAATGATTATCTATTGGCATCAAGTAAGTCTAGCCATCATATTGAACAGCAAGACCAGAAAAATAAATCACTACTATCGCATTTGGTGCAATTGAATCTATAAATCCTATTGAATGTAGTGCAGACGAGACATCATCTGCATCATTCACGCAAGTTCGTCTCGGTTTTATTTCGTAAGTATCATTTCCAATGACCAATGCTTGATTCAAGTCAGATGGTATACGAATAAATTTGAATTGATATGATAATCTAAAAAAAAAAGTGATAATTATAGTTTTATTATAGATAACAGTTCTACGTGACTACTTCGTTAAATTGCATTGTAAATGATGAAAATGTATGCAATAACCTATACTCAGTAGGAAATATTTACATAGTATTTGTACGTACAACTACTCAAATGACTCATATGAATACATCATTTTCCTCAGTACACCACACTCACAATGACGCAATTTTATAAATGACTATGACGACATATCATTAAATTATGTAATGGTTAGTTTCTTGCATGTTGATAGTCGAAACATTGCGGAAAAATCATTCATCCTTAAAAACTTTTGACTGAAAACATCTATTTGACGTGTGTATCACTCAATTTTTTTCTTTTCAAAACATGACAGTTTTCTCTAGAACATTCTTAAAAAAAACCTTTATCAATCTTGTCATAATCGAATACTTGTTTGTTTTGCGTATTGATTCATTGTAGAAGTATAATGTTGATAAAAAAAACCACAATTTTCATTCGGTAGAAGCTCTCAAGTTGATGACGATCACACCTATACTTTATAGAGAGTCCTGGTTAACGCAATTTCTATTATGAATCGAGAAATTTTCCTTCAGTGAATAATCTAATTGAAATGGATTATTTTCTTAGCAAGAGACTGAATAACTATTGAATCCCTAAGTTCGAAATAATCACAACTACATCTTTACTTAGCTACTGTTTATATGAAGTTCCAAAAACATAATTTACATTTTTTTTTAGTTGCTTCATGTTCAATATTTAACATCCTCGTATCTATATTTATCTGTGTTAGGGCCATGTTCGACAAACAAGCTTTAGTCATTGGAAATGATGATTATGGAGCAGGAAACAAGTTGCAATCGTGTGTCTATGATGCTAAAACAATGACTCGTTCTTTACATTCAATAGGTTTCAATGTAGAACCTCAGATCAATCTTCGAAATGATGAAATGTCATTAATCTCTCGTCAATTCGCACAATCTATTCGCCCCGGTGCAATCGTTGTGTTCTATTTTTCTGGTCATGCTGGTGAGTTTAATGGGAAAAATTATTTGCACGGAGTAGATTCCACTGGAGACAATCTTCCTGATGTTCAGGACTTACTTAGAGAGATGCATCAGAACAGACCAAGAGTGGTTATCTGCATTCTGGATGGTTGTCGTAATCGTATGGAGTCTTTATACCAAGCTCTTGGCCTCGATGGAAGATCACGATTGAGAAATGGTCTCGTACCGATGGGAGGACCACCATCAACGATTATCGCTTTTTCCAGCGCGGCAGGAAAAAACTCTGAGGCCGGACATTTCGGTGAAAATAGTATATACACAAAATATCTACTTCGTTATATTAGAGCAGCAAATACGGATATTGATATCGTGTTGAAAAATGCAGCTGTGGATGTTCAAAGAGCCACAACGAACCGCCAAATACCATATCTATATACGAATTGTAACGAACATATTTATTTGAATGTTATTCCAAGTCGTAATAATAAGGCCTGGTCCGATTCTATGCAATTCGATCCTTCCATACATCAAAATCAATATATGACTCAGAGTATTTGGCCTCACACCGGAAACTTTTCATATCCTCACTATGAGCGTGCTGGCATGATAAATAACCAATATCCAGTTTATGAAAATACATGGTACAATACCATGATGTATCCTTATACATATACTTACCTACAAATGTTTCTATAGCAATAGAATAGCTTTAATTTAGAAATTATTTCTTTTTTATTTTCTGTTAAAATAAACTAAAGTAATATTATTATGCCAAGCATCTTGAAGGTGTGGGTATGGAAGAGGATGAAGATTAAGAATCAATCAACTTCCACCTGAATAAGAGATGTCAAATCAAATATTCTTTCCTTATTATTTAATTTATAGGGAAATATTCGAAGAAATTATTTAGAATAATCATCTAATCAATCAATTTGGAAAATACAAAAGATATCTTCAAATATCTAACAGAGAATCCTTTCTATTCAAGTCCCACAATTAAATAATAAACAATTATTCGATGTACTGACATGTATATTCTTAATATATGATCATCATCAATTTCTACTAAATTAATTTCATATAATCCAGCATATAAATTTAAAAGAATGCCAAAATGTCAATTCATTGATTTGGGTGTCGATGAGAAAAGCATACAACACTCACATTCTCAAGATATTCAGAAATTGGTAGAGTAGATATAAATATAAATATAAGTGAAGCATGGATGTAATATTCCATTTATATATGATTTTTATAGCAACGCAAAGGCTGACCAATCGAAATACATGTGAATTAAGTTTTCTTCCATTGTACTTCAAAATACAATAGATGTCATTATTGTATAGATATATATGTATTCTTACTTTTAGATATGATTCATAACATGTATCATTAAACTCATATCAATTCTTAGGAGAAAACCAAGTCTTTGATGACTAAATGTCAACAAAACAAAAAACAGAAAGGATATATATATCTTCCTATTAACTTCTGACGATTAAAAAACAGTCATTTGGTGAAATAAATATCTCAACAAATGGATGCAATATCGAAAACAAATGAAACAATCTACAGATTTCGTTTTGGTACTACTAAGAAAACTGTTCAAATTACACAACAACAACTCAATCATTTTCCTTATTTATTTGCTCTTGTAAGTCATACAGATGATTTCGCAGTCAATAAAACCAACGATGGTGAATATATATTAGAATATCCCATTTTTTATAACTGGTTAATGGCGATCTTTCAATCGGTTATTAAAGAACAGCCATCTGCTCTATTTACTGAACTAACACACGAAGCAAATGTAATACATATGCTTGAACTTTATGATTATCTATGTATTGATCCATTACCACTTCCTCTTCTTAAAAACCAAAAACTTGTTTTGACAAATCCCATTGATGTTGATGATACGAACAAGCATATTGAATGGTGTCAAGCGGATATCTGTGAAGTACGTAATGTAGCTATTCAATTTATCATCGGTATTAGTAAAAATGCCTACAATTTAAATGATTTTGGAACAATAAATAGTATCTTCACATTACTCATGGTTATTTTCTCAAACCCGAATATGTTCCATTCAAGCTTTCGTTATCATACATTGAAAATAATTAGAAAATATTGCTTTTCATTATTTTCTGATAATCAACAAAAACAACTGCCAATAACTCAACAAATCATTCAAAATATTAATATTGACTTTATTAGATATTTAGACAATAAGAATCAATCTCTTCCACCAAACTTCAACAATACTTTTGCTTGGAAAGGTATTTATGTGTCCAAAGATAAAGTTGATACTGATCTTCAACCTATACGTGGTGTATATAGATTTAAGAGATATTTTGACCTAGAAGATTTTGCTGAAAACATTTTCTACTTGGAGCAAGACTTAATTTACTTCAGAACATGTTCTGATCGTTTGGTTTACCTCGGAAATTCATCTATTGCGAAAAGTTTTGTAAGTAGACAATTCACTGCTGAACCATTTGTCGATATTGAAAGTTTCCAATATGATCTCCGGCGAGAGCAAAAGCAAAAGCAAAAGCAAGAGCGAAAGAAAAATGAAGCTCATTCAGCTCGATCAGGACGTTTTAATACATTACCGAAATGGCCAAAATTTGACAAATTCAAACATCGATCTAGACCAAAAGCTCAAAAATATCGATAAAAGTTTTTTCACGAAAACAAATTTTATTGTATATTATTGATGGTGTAATTATGAATGTGAACAGATTATGATTCTAAGATATTTTATCATATTTTTCAAAACAATAATAAATCATTGTTTTTTAAATTCTTTGCATATCATACAAGAGATGTTCATATTTTTGTATATGATAGACTTTAGGACACTCCGATGATGTAGATGTGAGTGTGAATGTGTGACTTTACGGAATATATACCCACATTCACATCTTACACCTTCAAGATAATTATTTCCTTGCATGAGATCGTTTAGGTACAATCAGACTTATTTATCAAGATGGACATGACAATGACTCAAGGATGTGGGTATGAATGAAGAAGAGACATCCACATCCACACCCACACTCTTATTATTTGTTTCCAAATTTATTGTGAATAAAAAGTGATTGAATTTTACCATTTTTATAATTATATGTAAAATATTCTTCATATTTTGTGTTTTAGAAAAAAAAATATTGTAGAAAGAAGAGAACGTATAAAAACAGGTGACGCATTTTATGTAAACAAAAAAAATCAGTTGGTTATTTCTTTTTTGCATCACAAGACAGGTGTATTTATTAAAATAAATCAATTTTTACATTTGATCGGAAGTGACTACAATCTATAAAACAGATATTTCTTATTATTTGTTAAAATGTCCAATAAATCAACCACCAGATTAGAAATTTTTCCATCTGAAATATTTCTTGAAATATTTTCGTATATGAATGGCTATGATAATTATAAAGCATTTTATGGTCTTAATCATCGTTTATCAACATTAATATTAACCTATGGCATGAAATATATCGATCTAAGCAAGATAACAATCAACGAAAGTCGAAAGGTAATTATTTTATGGATTACAATTTAATATTTATATATAATTTCTTTTTTATTCAAGATGTTTTCAACTATAAATTGTTCAGATGTGAATACTCTTATATTATCTAATGAATATTATGATGAACAGATAGATCAAATTTTAGATAACAATTGTTTTCCATTAAAAAGTATGGTTTCTTTAAATACATTAATACTTTATTCGATTAGATTATATACCATGCATACACTAACTCAACAACATTTCCAGTTAGACAATCTAAAAGCATTAGTAATCTCATTTCGATCTGATTTATGTACAGAAAAAGTATCAGATATGTGCAGAGTTGTTCTTTATCATTTTAGTTCCCGTTTTAAATCATTAAAATACTTATTTTTATCGGCATCAAAGGATAAGGAAATTATTTGTCATAATGAATTACTGTCACTTAATGATTCTCTATTATCAACAGAAATATCTTCGACTCTACAACATTTATTTTTACATAATATACGAACTAACGATATAGGAAACATACTTTCACGTTTTCCAAAACTTCAGTATTTAAGTGCAAATGTTAGATTAAATAGACACATTACTGATTATCCGTTATCATTAAATTTAATTACTTGTCATTTAAAAGTACCTTTATATACGCTAGAATTACTTGTTAACTTATTGAAACAATGTCCTAATTTAGAAGAATTAACACTTTCTTTTATTCCAATAAATTATGATGATTTAAATAGTTATGAATGGGAAGATTTAATTGAAAAATATTTATTAAAACTTAAACAATTTACATTATATATAATTCCATTTGACTATGAAATGGATATTGCACAAGCTTCGATTGAAGATGACTTTTTAAAGAATCAATTTTGGTTAGATCGAAAAATAAAAATTGAGATCATGGATGGAGAATCAATAAATAATAATAATATTGAACCAAAAATTATGATTAAATTTTCAATTTAAACTTCCTTATCTGCTGGAAAATATTTGTATATTACATTATTAATCAAGATACTAAAAGATCTTTGATTATATGAATGAACTTATTTTTTGTAATAAATATTGTTTATAAAAAAATTTACACTAGAATATAATTACATTTTTCTTAATATTTGACGTTTCGATGATTTTAAATCTTATAGTTTATTGAGAGTATCGTTCATAATCATAATGATATATAGAAGGATTACATTATCATTGATAATGAAGTATCAATTACTCGTTGACAATTATTATATACCATAACACCATCAATGATAATATATCTGTCTATTGTTTGCATATCAAGAAAAGTTTCGAATTTCGATGCTCCAACAACGATAAGTGTATGTTCATCTTGAAAAAATAATGTACTTGTATACGAAATTCTATACGGAGCTGTTTGTTCTATAATTACAAACAAAAAGATGTTTTCAAAAAAAAAATTTTTTCTTACGTACCTTGTATAATCGGTAGTTTTCTTAAACAAATATCAATATCAGCTAATACGAGAAAAAAAACAATTAAAATAATTAATTCTATAAAATAACATACGAATAGTTGCGTTTGATGTCAAATTTGATCTTTCTGTAGAAAGTACTGGCTCTGTTGTAGATGATATAGTTGTATTAAACGTTTCAGTAGATGAAAAGTTTGGTGTAGTTGTATTAGGTCTGTCAGTTGTTGAAGATATAGTTGTAAATACTGGTGTACTTGTAATATTTATTACGGATGTTGGAATTTGCCCTGATGATTGATCAGCTAAATAGAATATTATAAAAATTTAAAACTTTAATTAAGTACTATATAGTTACCTGATACAGATAATGGAGTAATGGAACATAAATCGAATGTTTGTTGTTTATTTTGAAAATTGATTAGAAATGATAGAGTAGATCGAAAACGTTGATAAATTGTAGTAAACATTTGAGTAATACATTGTTGACTTTGACATGTATTATTAGGAGGATAAATAAGATTAAAATCAAACATAAGTGCAGATCCATTCACATTACCTACATTTTGATCACATTGTACACTATATTTCAATTATCAAAACAATATAGAAATTTTCAAAAGATAATTTGATTACATACGCTCGTTTACGTCGAGTTTTCGATATTTTTTCTACTGGTGCTTTTAAATCGATAGTACGAATTTGTAATACATTTTGTACACTTAAATTAAGACCATACTCAAACTAATTAAATAGAAATTCATATCAAATCTATCACATAAATATTCTTGACTTACACTACGTGCTAATTGTGCCAGATCACTTGAATTCAAATTAAGTTCATTCAATGATTGAATAAATGAATTAACTGATATATAGGTGGCATTGAATGTAGATGCTAGATTGATTTAATAAAAGAAATAATATTAAAAAATACAACAAATAAATAAGACTAACGAATAGATGATTGTGTTATATTAAGATCAGATTTCGATTGAGATTTAGAATCAGTAACAGAAACTACGATAGCTACAATGATTGCTGCAATCAGTATAGTTATTCCCGCTAATACAAGGAAACGTCCTCGTCTAGTCCTATATATAAATATTAAGAAAAAAAATTTAAGAAAAATCTATAATAGTTACCGTAGATTATGAGTGCAATTTTTAAGCCAAGCCATATGAATACTTTAGTATTAATCGCGTGTGCGTTCGAGTAAAAATACGAGTAATGCATATTATTTATTATGATATTTCTTTGTTTTATACGATAAAGTAAGAAAAGAAAAGTGTCACTATTTTTTTCTTTTGTTTACTCATTTATTTCGTATTTCTTTGTTGTACTAAATTTTATTAGAATATAAATAATACTTCTGCAATGAAAATAAATGAAATTTAAAAAAACAAATACTGTTTTCTTATATTCCAATTCCAAATTATTCTATTTTTTATTTACGATAGTCAGACAGTCATTCAGTATAATCTGTACAGGTGTATTTTTAGATATGATGATGTCATTAATTTGATTTTCTAAGGTAAACAAATAATCATAATTAACTCTAACAATACACACATGAAATTTTCATTTCGAAAATTATGAAGAAAGAAAAAGAAAAGCAATTAATCTAATGACGAACGCATAGGCAAGCTAGTAAAATAATTTATACTAATATAAATCAAGTATGTATTAGATTCATATCAAAGAAATAGATATATTTATTTTGGTGTCTGTATGTCGTTTCTTTTTCTCAATCGATTGATAATAACCATGTGCACATAATTGTTGATAACTATTATAGTAAAACGAATCATTCCCATATATTTGAAAAAATAAAATATATTGTGTATAACTTTTATAAGCTATTAGAAAAGAATGTATCATGAAAACGGGATTCCGGAATTCCGCTAATTGGCGAATGTTCTACTACCCTAGAGCTTAGAAATGCATTCTTATTTAAATCATTTGCAGACTTTGATGTCAAAAAAATAAAATTATTTTTTGCGCATTTCTCACCGCATGACCTTCATGAAGTTTTAATTATTCTCACAATAAAATTTTCGTCGACATTCAATGATTCATATGGCATGATGTACTTATAAATTGCACAATTTTCATCGAATGAAATTCACGGTCACTAATAAGACTTTTTTTCATTTCCGTGATCATTTTTTTGTAGTAAAATTTTCATTATAATAATGTAATTTACGTCATTCTTTTATTCCAGAGGTATATACTTGAGTAATGATGTATAGAAAAAAAAGAATTGTAAAAATACTTAAACAGAACGAAACGGTGGCAGTCTGCCAAAAAAATCATGTCTGATTTTATTTTACCTCGTCAATATTTTGTCTATAACAAATAACAAAATATATTCTTTATAAAACTGATGTCAAATAAAAAAATAGAGAATTTTATGTGATAGACAGCTGACAAAAATGTGTTATTCTTATCATAAGATTTCTTAAAATATAAAGTCATAGTCCAAATTGTTTTTATAGACATGATAATACCTCGTTGTTTGTCCTCATTATCAAAACTAAGAAATATAAAAATTCTATTAGATGTTTTTGAACTGTTGGTTTAATTACTCCATTGTGCGAAATTCCTATTAGCATTTGTTAGATTATAAATAGTTTAAAAAGGATCTACAGAAAAATTCGAGGTCATATTTTTACTTACAAAAATTTGACGCAAATTATTTTTTACAGAAATCGAAAAAATCCACCGTCGTAGAAGATTACTTATGAATCACATAAACTTTTTAAAGGCGTAGTTTCTCTTTAGGATTTTATCAATTAAACAATAATATGATATAAATACAAAATTTGGATACATTTTATTCACAAATAATAATACTACATGGACGTTACAAAAAAAAGCTATAAAAAAATTTCATATATTGTATTTATTCCAGATTAGTCAATATTATCTGAACCATTTTTGGACTAATTTTAGTCGAACCGGAGTAATCTTATTGATTCTCATATATCCATAAATAGTAAATTCATGACCGTTGACATGAATAATTCATTTTTGAAACCTTATAATAGTAAATTCGCCGACGAATTGTTATTTTCATCAATGAAATATTTTTCTAATGTTTTCGATGAAAATTGAAATGTATATCGAGTATTCGTTTTTTGCATTAAATTCGACTTGTAATACCATCTTATAGCTCTTGCAAATTTATCATAGGTCATTTTTTGTTGTGATTGTCGACTTTTTACAGCTTGCCATAGTTCAGCAATTTTATCAGGTCGATGGACTTGAAAAATACCTTTAGATCGATCGGTAAATGATGCATAAGATTCATAATGTGATTTTCTTAGAAGAAGAATTAGAAATTCAAAAAGACGTGGAGCTCTATAACGTTGTGATGGCGAATCTTGTATCAACCATTCTTTTCTATTGAGTGGTATCTCGTCAGAATACGTATCAATAATATCATCTGGATCAGTTGTGGGTGATAATTTAAACCAATCTTTAATAGAAGTTAAAATTATATCAGAATCATCATCCATAGAAAAATCATCCGAACTAATATTAAACATATCGTCCGAAAATAATGGATCAAAATTTTCATTACATTCATCATACATTGTAAAATTTTCCATTAATTATGAACACAATAACTTGTAATAAAAGAAATATCAACGATGTTAACTATAACGTTAGAGTAAAACTCGAGAATTTATAAATAAGACTGGAATTATAAGTGTGAGTGTTTTTTTGTTGACGAGCAATAGTAAAAAAAAGGTAACATATAAATATATATGTGAAAGAACAGAAAGAAAACGTCTTTCGCCGAAGTGTGGCTACGTGTCTATACTTGTGGGTTGATATGTATGTAATCGCTACCTTTTATATATATGAAGACGTATGTTGGATTTTACCGACTTAAATCGTAGAAACAAAAATAGTCTTAGCAACGATTTTGCATCATATTATAATATGACATCATTCATGAGACATAAAAATGAATCTTGGTAATTTCTTTAAGCAAAAGAATTCAGCGATGAAAAAATATTTGTGTAATTTCTATGACAGACATTTGATAAGAATGGATTTTATGACAAACTAATATGTAATGGCATACTGTTTAGTATAAAGAAATAATCACTCATAGTTTTATTTAGTAGATTTTTACGTCAATATAAGACGGAATCAATAAAAAAAAACGTCTAGTCAATTGATGTACGTATTAGTAATAAGAGGTAAATAAAACTTCTTGTCATAATAAAAATATCTGATTTCTGTATGATAAATTTCGATTGTTTTTTAAGTATAATAAAAGAAGCAAAGGATATTAGCTTTATAAACATATGATCATGTCTTTTTTTTTCTTCTTTTCGAAGTCATGGATGATTATTGACACACCTGTAGAAAGGACATTGTTTTGCTGATAAGAAAAAGAAACATTCATAGGATAGTGATGCATTGTATGCTATATAAGAATGTTTCAAGATGTCAACCTGGAAAAGTACTGCAAATAAAACTTAAGTTTATTCTATGATAGGTAAAAACATATAAAATATTTAGAAAGGAAAAAACCAACTTATTCATGAATATATTATAAAGGAATAAAAACATTCCGTCTTATCTGTGTATTGTATGTTGCTACGATATATGTTTATATGATATTACTCATATAATATCACTTGCCATCAAAAATTTTATTATTGACTCTATACTAATAGCTCCATTATTTGATATGGTTAAAATTACCAGATACATTTGAAATTGTTGTCTAGACTTTGAATGATTTTTTTCGATACAATGTTTCAAACAGCATCAACAAATTATAGAATTCAAGAAAAGAATGTGTATATCATACGAGAACTGATAATAATTGTTTTTTTTCTGAGAAAAGTTTAAAAGCATTATCTAAGACAAACATAAGTTTTAAAGTAACAAGTATTGTTTAAAAAAGAATAAATCTGAATAGTATACTTTTAATATCTAATAAAGATATTAAGTATGTGAATAGGAATTTTTTATATTAAAATTGTTGGACGAAAATTATTGTTAAGACTATCAAAAATAAACATATATATGTTATCTTATGGTTTCTACAATAGACTTCATCGATCACAGTCAACTTAAACTAATTTCATAACACCTACAACAATTCAAATCTTGTTGTAAATTTTATTTATAGAAAACTAAACAATTTTAAAAGAGATTTGTTGCAATCATGAAATTCGTTAATATAACAAGTAATGCTTTGTTTATATCTAGAAATAAAAAAACAATATTTTGTTATGTGTCTTCATAAAATAAAACAGGCAATATTTGTTCTTACCATTACTTGATACACTACTGTTTACATATGATTGAAGACATTCTGTCAAATTAAAATTACAATCATCGGTCATACAATAACATTTATTATAAATTCTTGTATAATTATCCGTATCTTCAACATCTTCTTGCCATTGTACATAAAATGAACCTGATGTTTCATTATAAAATTGTATGAAATTTGATTGAGTTGCTACTCCTTGCATTTTATCAATTTGATCAGCTAATACATATTCATAATCTTCATCAGGTATAGCAACTAAAGTTAAATAACTTCCATCATCACTTTCTAAATACATACAAACAACAGTATGATTTTGTACATATTCTTCACATTCAGTCATATTTATATAAGGTGTCGAATCTCTTATACAGTAATATGTCGAATTTAATATACCAAGTGGTGTATCTTGACATGAAATTGCTGATGTATTAGCAGTTAATGTTGATATTGGTGACGGAAGTGTTGGTAGATTTGGATTTGAATCAACCGATTGTTTACATGTTGTAAAGTTCTCATTACATAAATCCGTTGCACATATACAAAGTACGTTGATATCAAAATATTCAAATGGTAATTGTGAACAAAGACCATAACCAATATCACTATCACTTGTAAAACCTGAACAACGTTGTGTTACAAGTCGATAAGAATTTGTTATATAAATACAATCATGAGATATACTTGAATCTGTACCATTATTAAAAAATTCATAGACACAATACTCACAATTTGTAAATAAATCTGTATCACCAAAATCAGTTAGACATGTAAGATTACGACGAGAAGTTAATGCAGTTAAATTAAATGGAGGATTATTAAAAAAACTTTCACATCCAACGATAAAGATTACGAATATTAATAAAAATGTACGCATATTATAAATTTCTTATGGAATAACTAATGGTAAATTAAAGAGTTTTTGTTTCTCTTATTTATGTCATTCACCTGTTGGTTTTGTATTGTATAGTTAGCTTAAAGCAATGAAAGGTTGCTTAAGTATATGAGTAAAAAAGAAAATATAATTGTCCATGGAGGACAAACTTGTATGATGAATAAGAATGAAAACAATTCAATCAATATGAATCATTGATTTTTAACAAAACAAAAAACAATATTCACTGTCAACAGTGAAATCATATAGAAAAAAACAGCAAATAATGAGAAATGAGTATTTTATTTTTTTCGTTATTTAACTAAATTCTAAAAAATAATAGAAAAATTATTTTCATTGAATTTGAAATACGTATGTTTACGAACAAAAAAAATAGAAGTTGACAATAAGAAAAGTAAGTCTTTACTTTTATAACGCTATGCGTACAAATACTATATGAATAAAAAAAAATGTCGTTCATAGTAGATAAGTTTATATGTACAGTATTTATCACAGAACGATATATAATAATAAAAATAAATATATTAAAATTGTTTTTGTTAAGAATTTAATCCATGTTGAAAATATGTTGATAAGATCGTTTTAATTCATTAAAATCATAAAAAAATGAATCAGATGTAATTGATTTACAATCAGATTTAAATTTAACTTCCATTTCATTATATAACATACGTACTAAGATTTGATCATGATGTTCTTCATGTTGATAAATTTCCCATTGAATATTAGCAGCCATAGAAGCAATTTTATTACCTCGCCAAGGATTATTTTCATATGTATAAATATCTAAAGGATGAACTGATTTGTCTGAAAAATTAGGAATTTGTAAAAGTGTTGCAAATGGAATAATCGTTTCAGCATGGGCGAAACGAAGATGTGCAGCAACAGTATTATCCGGATCTTCAATACGTGCATTGATAGACGTAAAAAAATCGGCTAAGAGTGGTTTTGCCATATCATATGTTACTGTTTTTCCTTCAATTGATGGACCCTTGACATAAAATTCCTATAAATAAAAAATATAGACTCATTTATTATTATGTATAATGAAATACCTGTGCATCATTGATATAAGAAAACCAATATGATTCTTCTTTATTAAAATATTTAGCTAACATATTCGTTAAAGAAGGTTTATTTTGTGCTTGTGCAACTGAAAACATCGAATAAAGACATATAACAATATCGACTTCATTTTGATGAAATTTTTTATCAAGTAGATCAGAATATTTATCAGCTTGAATTTCATAATAACCATTGGTTAATAAATCAACAAAATCTTTAGTATAAATTCTTCTTAAAACTTGTTGTGCATATGCTTTTGTTTGTGGTAAATTTTTAATTAAATGTATTTTTGTTCGGATATCTAAATCAGTTTTTTTAAATGTTCTATAACTTAAACATGATTTATGAAAATAAAGTAAGCTTTTATTTGGACTTTGATTTTGTATTTGAATACTATTTTGAGATTCTGTTAAGCCATTAACAAATTGTTGAGAACTATCTACTGCACGTTTTTTACCACTTGTCATAACAGTAACAGTATTTGATGGGAGAAATAAAGATTGTAAACGATGAAATAAACGTGAGCCAATACCAATATGTTCATCTTTACCTAATTCAGTTAATTCTCCACGTCTATTCAGAAAAATATACGTAAGATGATTAGATAGAAAAGAAAATGAAAAACTTACCCGACATGATTATTTTCTCCCATAAATAATTCTGTATCTTCTTTTAATTGTTCGCCTAATGGTGTTAACATATTTTTTTGTTTAGCTAATTGCCAAATTTTTAGAGTTTGTACATCATAATCGTGACTATTTAAAGTTCGACTTCCATGTCTTGCAAGAACTTGTACACCAATAGGTTTATAACCAGTTGGTGGTGAACTTAAAACATATTCTTTTGAAGGACATGTATAAGGTGTTTTAGTTGAATAATATCGTTTATTATCATCACCTTCATCTTCAACAGATGTAAATTGTAATGTTTTTGGAATAGAGTGTTGCACTGGAGATTCTATTTCATTCTGTTTAACAAATAAACTTATCGCTCGATTATATGTTTTCTTGTTATTTATTACTGGAACGACACTTTGAACACTATAACGTCTATTCATTCCGACAAGTGATCGAATATGTTCATCATTATTGATAAAAAAAACATTTTGAAAGTTTAACTTGTACAGATTACATATATCATATAAATATTGATAAGGATAACATTGATCATATTGTATATTCAAATTAAAAGATGGTACCGTACATAAAGCCATTTTTTTGTAGTTTTAATTAAAATCTAAAAGCAATTTTACATAAAAGTTTAAAAAAGTCATTTATATAATTATGCTAGTTGTTTCTAGAACACATTAAACGATTACTCAAGTTATATAAGCAATGACGGAGATGCGGGGTCCGATGTCGTCATTATTGTAAAGACATGAGAAAAAATTACATATTTTTACAGTAGAAGTGTTCTGTTTATTCATGCTTTTCTTTTCAAGAAACGTATTAAAAACAAAAAAAAAAGTACGTTATTAGTAAAGCCTGATATATTCATGATTTTTATTCTAAAGTATTGTATGTTCTATTACAGATATTCATTTTAAGACAGTAGACTTTGAAAATTAATAACAATCGTGTTTCACCTACTTTCTAGTTCTATTTGTTTGTACTTTATATATTAAAAATTCTGATTTTGTTGATGTTTTTAACCTATATAAACTATTGATGACGTCTGAAGTTAATTGACTTTTCATCGGTAAAAAAACTCAAATATTATTTTTGCCTAATACAATGTTTTTGTTATTGTTTTTTGCACACTATTAGATAAATAATCTTTTTTTTTTATTATCAATATAATATCGTATAACTCATGAGATAACTACTATCGATTATCTCTAAATGAAATATTAGAATAAATTGATTAAGTAACTCAATGAACTCGTGTAAGAATTTATTTCTAAGGATAGCAATACGAAATTCTATACCCCTCGATATTATTCAAAAATCTATTTATATATCATACTAACGTGCCATATAAGTTTTATGTAATACTAAACGATATAAACATCTTATAAAAGTACTTACTTTATTTTATAATGATATAAAAAGGAACTGTTACTGGATGTTATCTTTGTTCTATTTTTATCTATTTAAACTTAAAAGATAGAGTACCACTAAGCAAATAAATGTATAAAATATATGTATACGTTATTACCTTTTTCTTCCCTTGCTAACTTGTATATGGCAACGGGTATATCGTTTATGTTGCTTTTATATAGCAACCATTTATAATTGAATCACATACGAACATGCATTGTGCAACGTAACTGGCTGTTTTTTTTATACGTCACTCGGTAACAAAATTATTGACGTTACGAACATGCATCTTACCTGCCATCGGTTAAAGAAAAAAATAGAGAAGAGAAATCGATATAAATTGTTTATGTTCGATAAAAACTCGTTCAAATAAATAATTTTTCTTTGACAAAATATTGATTATACACTTTACAAATTATTCTACGAAAACGAAGTTGGAAAAAATCTCAAGTACTCTAGGAAGTATACGCAATTGAAAATGTCATTGATAAAGTCGTATAGATATTTATATAACATATTCAGTAAATGGTAGGACAAAGTCAAAGATTCCAGACAGAGTAGAAAATCATGTATATGAGTCATCGACTCAGAAACAAGAAATATAGTATAGAAAAAGAATAAGAAGATAAAAAGTATCGACAATATGCACTTACAGGAACAAGAAGAAAAAGAAAAGACATGTAAGGATAATATATTCTTTGATTTATGCTTTATGACGCATCACATGATACATCGTAAATATATCCCATTATATTCTCATACTGTTGTTTATATGAAAAATATGATTTATATGTTTTACTTAAAGAGTATTTAATTGTCAAAAAATCTTCTACGTAATATTAGACGAGCACATGTTTAAGTAAAAATACTTAATTCTAATTATATCTAGTTTTTCTCTATTAGATTTAGATATGCAGTATTACAAGTGAAATCAAAATACTCAAAAGAATTTTGTTAATACAGAAATTGATAGATCGGTTTTTTTCTTATAAAAATCCGCACTTTGAGAAAATGACGTAGACAATTCATTATTTTATCTTTAACGCATCAATCTTTACGATTTATTTGTTTTTTTACGTTCGCATAATTAATAATTATCTTTAGAAAATTTCATGTCCGATAACAACATACTGTATATGGCTAATTTCAATCTAATTACATTATGCATGAAGCGAGATAAAATTTTTAATCGAAAATATTATACATAATTTACTTCTTTTTATATTAAAAGATAAATTACGTCTCAATATATATTTTAGAATATACTAATATCGATAAAGTAAAGATAATTAGAAAAAGTAATGAATTTTAATTACTGCTTGAAAGTGGTTTTTATTGAAAACAATTTCTAAATCATAAACTGTTCGTATTCTGTCGATGCATTGTAATTATCCACAATATTACATAGTAATAATATTTTTATTTCATGTCAATTGAAATACTAGCTGACAAAATAGAAGCAAACCTATGAACAGGTAACAATAACATTAAGTACAACAATGGTTTTCATATATATATATACATTAAGCTCAATTATTAGTACATGAGCGAATCCATGAGATTTCTACCAGTTTTTACAAGCAGGACGTTCTATGCAAAGTTTTTTTTTCGATTTTAATAGACCAACTAAACCTAACGTCATCGAACACATAAAGTGTGGAGAATCATATCATTTTTTTAAGGAACACTTCACATGTGTAAATGACAACTCTTCATGGCATATTCTTCATATTTAATATGTTTAAAAACGCTCTAATTGTTATGTTAGACCGCATTTTCGATGACGTATCATCCAACTAACCTATTAAAATTGATAGAAACTTCTCTGATTCATCCTATATCATACAATCATTTATACCAAAAAGTATAATTTAAATACTGCCAAAAAAAAATCAAAAAAAAATTTCTTGTTATTTAATCCCATAATTGTTTGACATAAAATACAAAATATCGTTTTTATGATGCTGTTCAAGAACAAGGTAATACATTAATACCTGTCGCAGGATTTAATATGAAACCTTTAAGTTCACTTGAACAAGCTACTGAACCACTTACTTCGTTTGTTCCTGATACTCAAGTAAAAGTTACTAAAACATATGCTATACATTTTACGAATGACCTTTCTATTGATGAATCAGCTACAATTGTATTATATACAATGAAATGACGTTTATATACAGTTCCATTTTTCTATAAACTTAATGATACATTACGCACTGAAAATCGATAAATATTAAAATCATGGGCTTTTATATCTTAAACATATACTAACAGGATTATTACGTTTACCAACAATTAATCTTACTGTTTATCATGGAATTATATTATCTGATTATACAAAATATGTTCAGGAGATTTAAATCGACGAACATTATTTATCATTGACTGTATCAAAGGAATAGATATTAGTAAATATTACTTATACCAGGAACAACATTTCAAGATTTATCATCTATTGCTAAATTTTTAGAAAACAATTATACATTGGAAGAATTATATTTAACTAGTATTCAAATTGATGATAATGGTGTACAAATTCTTACATAAATACTTTCTAATGACACAAATATAAATTTAAAAATTCTCTAACTATTGATTATCTTATTGAAATGTTTACATACAATAAAATATTAATACAAGTTGATATAGATGGAGATAGTTTATCTCGGCCGACTATGAAAACACTTGTAGCTATAGCAAAAAAGAAAAAACGAATTTTCAATTAAATATATATTAATATTGAAAAAATAATAATTATTTTTTAATGTGTATTTATGATGTTATCGATAAATTATGTTCACCTGGACTTTTCAAATGAGTCCTTGTTTTATCTAGCAAATGGGCGGTGCCTATTCGATACTTCGATTAGCACACCTGAAAAACAAAATGAGGATAAAAATTTCAACAGTTTATATTTTACCCTGTAAAGCTTTCTTATATAAACAGTTAAATGTAATAATTCACAATAAGAATTATTATAGTATTATAAAACGATTTTTTTTTATTAGATCGAAAATATCTCTTTAAAAAATTTTTGACAATATTTCGTTCTTACATTATATAAAAGTAGTACTATTACGAAGTTTTGACATTAACTATCATTATACATTTATCATTTCTCTTCCTATACTATTGAAAACGAATAAATTCGAAAAATTTCGTATCATTAATATTATATCGACGACGTATAGTAGGTTTTAACTTTAATGTAAACATGTTTTCTATTTATTATTCATTATCAAAAAAAAATAAATATACCCTTGAGGTATTTATATAGTTATAATACATATCATAAAAAATAATCTGTCGTTCTTTTTTTTTTCTACGTTAGTCTATCTGATGGGCAGAAATGTAGAAAATACAATTAATACAGCCAGTTATTATTTCGATTATGTGGTTTTTTCAAACACGTGAAATACAGGTAAGTACAAAAATAATAACAATATTTCAAATTATTTTCATACAGAAAATAAAATATTTTTCTCATTTCGAAAGTATTCCTATCAAGGCCGTATTTTCTACTTATTTAAGTTACAAAAATTTTCTCAGGCCTATTTATTTATACATATACACAAAAGAAGTATATCGAAAAACCATTTAAAAAAACTATAATAGTACTGTATGATGTTGAATATAAAAAAAGATATCAAAAATATCTATGCAATTCAAAATAACTTAGTTAACCCTTTGTCGTAGGGTGGGGGGAATAGTCGGCCGGAAAGAGTTAATTTAATACTTAATTTCTCATACCTTTCCTTATAAACGGACATAGAGTTAAAGATTGCTCGAACGCACTGATATCGAAAGGTTTCATATATGAAATGATTAAAACATAAGAAAAAAAAAAATTTTTTATATTTCTAGTTTTTTTAAAGTTAAATGTCTAGACGTGCAACTGCCAGAGCAATTTCCAATAATACTAGAATTGTCAATCGAAAGATTTCAGCTGACAATTTTGAACAAAATTTTGTATCGAATGCAAAACTCAAACGTAGTCCTTCGATTAAACGAGTACAACTTGAAATTAAAGTCAATAATTCTCCTCGATTAAATTATGTTCCACCAATAGTTTTACATTCTCAATCGATATTAGTTCGATTACATCAACCTAAAAAGCCTATATTACCAGCACCAAATACAATTAACAATAGAAATATGGTAGTTGGAGTTTATCACAATGCTAAACTTCAAGAAAAAATCGAACAATGTCAATCAAAATTACATGTTGATTTATCTTATTGTGACATAGTCGATCGTGATATGTTAATTGTAACCAATAAATTAATAAATGAAAAAAAATGTACGGATCTTTGGTTATACGGAAATCATATAAAATCCGAAGGTATATCAACATTAGCATCAAGTTTAATAAATAATTCAACATTAAAAAGTCTTGATCTTTCATTTAATCAAATATCTGATGCTGGTGTCTATTCATTAACTCAAGCACTTTTACCAAAACATAATTCATCTCTTCAAATTCTTTATCTGAGTAAAAATGGTATATCTGATGATGGAATAAGATATATATCTGATATGCTTCGAACAAATCAAACAATAACTGAATTATGGTTATCAAATAATGAAATTACTAATAAAGGTATTCAACAATTAGCAAGAGTATTAGCATATCATAATAAAACATTAAAACAATTATCACTTTCAACAAATTTATTTCTAACAGATAAATGTATTGATTATCTTGTTGGAATATTTGAACATAATGATACATTAAAAAAACTTTGGATTAGTGATTGTAGTTTAACAGAATATGGTAAAGCAAAACTTCATCAAAAAATTCATAGAAAAAACCATACACGAATTGATTTATAATGTTTACATATATATATTTATTAATAATAAATAAATTTCATTTGAAAACTAATAAATCTGACCGAGATTTTTTTTTTATATATAAAGTTATCTATATAATGGATTTATTTGAATAAATGCTACATCGTTGATAAGATAACTTATTATTACACTTTGTAATTTTCTTTTCAGTCGAGGTCCGACAAGACTCACAACGCTTTTTTTTTACTCTTAAGTTCTCGTAAGGTAGCACACGAAAGGTTAAATCGATTGAAGATTTCGATTAAGACATGAACAATTTTATGATGAGAGAAATTCTGCGCAATTAGTTTCAAAAAAAATACTTCGATATGTAATCTATCGATTTTAATGTAGTTCTTGTCTACTTACCAAGAAAATCGATGATAAGCTAGAACATCATTAGTTAGTTAAAATTAAACGATATTTTTTTTTGATATTATCTCAAAATTATATAATAATAGGACCATATTACACTTTTGCATAGTTATCTAGACACATGATAATCGTACCATATTTTTCTTATCTACAAACGAACTGAAAAAAAACAGACAAACATCACTAAATAAATAGAGTATTAAATAATTATTTTTTCATTTTAAAATTTTTTCAACCAAAAAAAAATGACAACTCAATATCCATGGTATATCTATTTCGCAATCGAAATACTTGTAATGACTATTCCATATTATGGAATAAATCTCTATGATTATTTAACAAAATCTAAACCATACAGACGTGAAATACAAAAACGTAAATCTCAAGGTATTGAATTAAAAAAAGCTTCTGTAACATCACATACTATAATACATTTTACAATACGTTCTTCTGTATGGTATTTTAATATACATCATAAAACAATGTTTAATATGAATTCTATATCATTAATATCGTTTATATTAAAAATGGTTTTATCTGATGGTATAGGAACGATGCTTCATAAATACCAACATTCATTATCTGGTCGAATTTTTGATCATTTAAAACATCATCAATTACGTATACCAACATTAACTAGTTCAGCATATTCATCTATGGGTGAATTATTATTAAGTAGTCATTTAGGATGGGTATTAATGGGTTTTATTCCAGGTTCATTTTGGGATCATTGTTTATTTTTAGTAATATCATCATTAATAAAACGATTATGTCATAGTAATTATGATCATCCATGGGAGAATACAAAACTCTATCGTTTATTAAAATTAGTTGGATCACGTGAACATCATGTACATCATATACATCCAAATAAGAATTTTTCAGATTTATTTATATTTTGGGATCAATTATTTGGTACTTTTCTTGATTCAAATAATGTTGATGGAATTTATAAATACAAAGACATAAAAATGAGATAAAAGTTTTCTTTTTATAAATAAAATAAGATAATAATTTATTTTTATACTCCGTAGAAAATTTCTTTACTATCATTGAATATTTTTTGTGACTATAATAACCGCTCTAGAATACGAGAAAAATATCATATCGATTATAATATATTTTCTTTTGTCAATAAGAGTAATAAACAACTCATTTTTATTCATAAGCAACTAACTCAATTGATTTATATAATATGACACTTCGCTCTATTCTCTGGTTTTAGAAAATTAGATTGACAATGCCTTGCGATGGTGATATATATATTTTGTATTTATCCATATGTCATACGAGTATAATAGACGAAACTTTTTTTGATACATATACATACGTAAAAGATGAAATGTGTTGATAAAAAAAAAGTAATGACCAGTTTTTATATAAAACGGAGATTTCTCACGTTGTGCGACTATTTTTAACACGTATATAAAACGTATTTTATTTTATCTTTCTTTTCAATCAAGGACATATTTTATATTTGATGTCAATATTAATTTGCACATTTACTTATTTTACTATACATGTAAATATGTATCAAGGCTAAGTCTTACTGTATTATGATGATGAGTTAATCATTGAAAAGAGAGAATAATCAGAAAAACAAAATTCAATAATATGAAGTTTTTAATGCTTACTAATTTATCTATTCTAATATTAATACTATCAAATTAAAACTACAACATTCTTATTCGTTCTATCTATCTCCGTGTTCAAATAAAATAATATAAAAATAGTTTTACAACGTTCAAATCTTTCTTTTATAGAGATATATGTACGTATTATAAATATCATATTATATCTTCAATAATAATATATCTCAAATGATTCTTATATCTTATCATCAGGGGTGGCGCGAGGCAGCCAACATGGGGGGGGGGGGGGGTGTAACAAATTTTTTTGAATTCTTGGGTGGTGTAGTATTATCTTTCATAAAAAACCTAAGAAGATTTGCCGATTTTGTTGAGTAAAAATTAGAAATTTTCGAAGATTGAGGGGGTGTTACATCCCCGACACCTTCTCCACCCCCCCCCCCCCCCCGGTCGCGCCACCCCTGCTTATCATTATTAGAATATCTCATTGATTTAAATTATTCTTTCATGATTTTTCTAATAAATCAAGTTTATCTTATTTAAAATTTATTAGCAAATATCGTATTTATCACTTATCCCTATTTTCTCTTTTTCTTCAATCAAAAGAAAAAAAATCTATCAAACTGATGCATCTTTTCGTTTAATTCTTAATATTTGTTTTTGATGAAATATAAACTCAATTGCTGGAAAATAGAATGAACATCAATATGTGTATGAATTAATATAAAAGTAACAAATACACTCTTATGATCGTCATCATAAATTCAAGTATATGTCTCAATAATTATTGTTATTTATTCTAATGATTAAATGGATTACATTAGAGATAAATCTAAACTAATCATTTATAGTAGTAAGAAATGAATAAATAACGCAATTTAACATCTTGTTGTTTTGAAAACTATTCATGTGTAATTCATTAGTCAACAATAAAGAATAATCATTGAAACTAGTTCTATCCAAACAAACAAGAATATTTAACTTGCTCAGAGAAAATATTATTGTATTCATGAAAAAACGCAAGTCATGTATTAAAATAAGATGAATATGAAGAATAAAATTGTAGATACAAAATATAAAAATAAAACAATGAATATGTCATAGAAAATACTATAATCAACATAATTATTGAGAAAAATATGTTGACTGCATTTTATAATTCAATACAGAGATTTAACTTTTCAGTCTTAACTATTATGGAGAGAGAGAATAATTGATGCATCTCTCATCTATTCATTTCTTTCTTTATATAAATAATGATAAAATTCTTTACTAAATAAATTTTAATACTATAGGAACAACAATAAATACTATTGTACTTTTTGAAAATAGAGAAATGTCAATCAGTACAAAAATATACTTTTTCTTCTTACTCATATTATCAAGTAGAAAGTATGTGTAGAATAACATTCGATATCTATTTGTCATCCTTAACTCATACATGTGTTGTATTGTATTTTGTTTATGATAAATACGTCAAAGGTTTGGTTTTTATTGTCTTTCATCACATAATTGTTGTCAATATTTTAACCGTATCACATAAGACAATTGTATACAGGTAAGATAATAAACACATGTAATATTATTAACAAAAACAAGATGTGCCTATTCATGAAAATTATTTTTACCGATGCATCGAAAGACATCAATACAATAGTCAAAATACTTCTCTCTTTGTCTTGAGTTACCATCTTCTCATCAATTTTGATACAGTATATATACAAGTTTAATATCTTTGTTTTTCTCATACAAATACAATCATATTTATTCATTTCAATTTTCAGCAAAAGATGTCTGAAGAAATAAAACATAATAGTGCAAACAAAAAAGGTAAAAGAGGTGGTACAAAACGGAATTTTGGAATGATCTGTTTCGCTTACATCTGTGCATTTACCTCACTCCAAGCTGTCACTAGTCTTCAGTCAAGCATCAATACAGATAAAGATGTTGGTCTCAATTCAATAGCAATTGCATATGGTGCTTCTTTAGTTACTTGTCTTCTATTTACAACTTCGCTTGGATATATTTTTGGTTACAAATGGGCGATTGTTGGTGGACAATTTGGTATAATGGTATATGTTGCATCTAATATGTATCCTAAACAATGGCTAATGTACTCCAGTAAGTCAAACAATAATGTCAATTGAAATATTATGATAAATTCTTCTTTTTTTAGCTGCAGTCATATGTGGAAGTCTTCGAGCTTGTATGTCCATGGCTCAAAATTCTTATGTGGCTGTACTTGCAAATGATGAAAGTGAAAATGATGATCCTGAGATAAAAACTAGAAAATATTTTGGTATCTTTCTTGCTGCATATCAATCAGGTTAGTTTCATATGATATTATATAATTTAAGCATGTTTTTACACTGATATTCCTTGTTGCAGCTCAAATATGGGGTAATCTCATATCATATGTAGTCTTACGAAGTACTCCAAAAAATACAAATACTAATTTTACACAATGTGGAGCTAATTACTTAACAAGTGAACATCAAATGCAAGATGGCAGTCCTCTTATATCTCAGAAAACGGTACATTATCAATCAAAAATAATTTATTTCATTAAAATATTTGACGAAAAGATTTTTCTTTAGATTTACATTCTTTATAGTATATTTAGTGGTATTATCTTTGTGTCGATAGTGTTGACCATCATTATTCTTGTTCAAAGACGTGACAATAAAAGTAACTATAAATATGATATATATTTGATATGATCGACTAAAATATTGTTTTATTATAGAAGAGGATGATTCTCAAGGATTATTACGAAAATCACTTAATCATACATTGTCAACACTAAAAACTGCTATAAATCCAAATCATCTTCTACTTATACCACTTGGATTTTGGTCAATTTCTGCACAAACATTCTTTATGGGAGCTTTCTCAAGTGTAAGTTGATGTGAATTTTACAATGAAAAACGAAGAAATCTGAATCAATTCCTTTTTTCATAAATAACTCTACATATACACAAAAATCATTCGGTCATCTCTTTCATTCGAAATGCAATTGAGAGAATGTCGATTTGAGAATTTTATACAGTAATAAAACAACTCTTTTATAATAACAGATCAGAGATAGAAATATAATTCTTAGAACACACGTGAAAATGTTCGCTTGTTTGTGTTCTATTCATGTGAAATATTTCTTCTAAATTCAAACTTTCTTTTCTATAGAGCTTTATTACATGTACAATTGGTGTTCAATATGTTGGTATGTATCAATGACATTTTATCTCATATCAAATAATATTAATTCTAGGTCTAATTATGACAATATATGGCATTACAGCCACTATGTCTGCGATCATTGTTGCTTATACAGTCAAATTCAAATATAGTCGACTAATATGCTTTCTAATCTCAGCCTTATTAAGCTACACAATATTCATTGTTATGCTTGTATGGAAGCCAACAGTCTCACAAACATATGTGTTATTTATCCTTCCATTTTTATCAAGTATTTCAGATGGAATTACAGAACCATTTATAACAGGTCTGATATAAGATTTTAATTTCTTTTGATAACTTTAATATTTGAGAGACATACTAAAGATTTCAACATTTTAGCATGCGACATATTCATGCATAAGTCATAGATTTCAAAAGAATCTATAGTGAAAAATGGAATAAAAGAAATCAGAAAAAATGGTATGTTCTGAAAAGAAGTGAACAAGATTCATATATTTACAAAATCTACGAAAGTTTATCTGAAAATATATTGAGAAAATTGTTGTTTTATATATCTGTAAAATTCTTTTGACGAAACAAATTCTCAAGAAACACACAAAACACTCATAGATGAATCATGAATGATTATGTACACTATTTTTTAATGATGTAACAAATATTAATAGTTCTCTTTTTTTTTGTAGCCTTGTACAATTCTATGATACCAAACAAGAAAACAGAAACTTATTCATTGTTAACATGCGCTCAGAATGCTGGAGCTGTCATCGTTTTTCTTTACATATCCAAATTGCGTGTTCGTACACAAATTATTCTTGAACTTGTTTATCTTACATTAGGTATGCTATCTTATGTTATTATTGCAATTAAACAACGCAAAACTTCAAGAAATGATGACGATGAGCACACCTTTGTTCTTAACCGGATAGTATTGGATCCTTCGAAACATGTAGTATCATCAGATCAATGCTGAAATTTTCGTTGAATGTGTCATTTTTATATATGATAGATTTATTCTTTTATGATATATATTTTTTCTTGTTTGATACTTATGACAAAATAAAATATGTGGATGATATTTACACAATTGTCTATTCGAAAAGAAACTTTAAAAAAACTTTTCCTATTAAATCATTAAAAACGTGTTCCCAACGTGAAATAAGCTAAGAATAGTTACAGGAAACTGATCAGATGAATCTGTTTCATGAATATCTCATTCATAAACCAGACTGGAAGCAAAAATATATAAGCATTATTAATGTAAATTATATCGATACTGATAGTTTATTTATCGCATATTAAATAATAAAAATATGAATCAAGTAAGTAAATAACCTATAAAGTCACTAGCAATATATTACAACATATTTTTTTCTCAAAAGAACAAACATCTAATTGTTCTTTAGTATTGTATTATCGTTATAAATCAGACTTTTTCAATTTGTTAGTATATCAAATCACAAGAATATAAAGAACAAATAAAGGATGAGTCATAGTCAATAGATCGATCATCGTTTTACTTGTATTTCGATAATATTGATTTTGCCCGTGTCAACTGATCAAATTAATACTTATTAATATTAGCACATTTCAAAATAGCTATAGTACAGAAATATAGAGTAATATACGCTTTTGTAAAGAAAAATTTGTTCGACAAAATCTACTGTATCATATATGACCATTTTGAAATATGTCAATCGACTTTTTACAATTACTTATCAAAAATAACTGTATTTCAAGTCATTTTGTATAGTCTTCTCAATGAAATTCAAAACTTATTTTATCAAAATGATCAGAGAAAAAAGCTCTAAAAAATCTAATGTACAAGAAGATTTTCAGACTAATCTGTTTCGTCATTAATAATAATGAACTCATCAATCTTAGTTTGGTCAGTTGAAACTGACAAAACTATACAGAATTGAAAGATGCTACTGTTAAAAATATCTTTGTCTTTCACATATTAATACTATCGTAATAGAGGTAAAAGCATTAGAGGTCTATTTATTATACGCCATTCATTGCATATAAACATATAAATACAAAACAAAAGGTTTTTCTCACTCATTGTATGTCGCACAAACGAAAAAGAACTATACTTATCTGTCACGTTTAACTCGAAAACTGTATTATTATGTGATTAATGATGCGAAAATAGTATGTAAATACGCTTTATATTCATTTTAAAAGACAATAAGTTTATCTTTTTATAGAAATTCTCAACCATTCAGTTTTACTAATAAAATGAATATATCTACTTCAAAAATTAAAGATATTCTGGATGAATTTGGTGTTGGTGTTTATTCAGAATGTGGTAAATTAGACATTGTTCTTATGCATCGACCAGGCAAAGAATTTCTTCGATTAACAAAAGATAATTATCATCATTTTCTTTTTAATGCTCTTCCTAATATTGTTTAAACACATCAGTCTCATGATATTTTTTCACAATATTTACGTGATCATGGAATACATGTACTTTATCTAGCAGATCTTCTTCGTCAAATACTTATCTCAAGTGATCAAGCACGTTCTCAATTGATTCATGGTATTCTTACTAATTCTCATTTCAATCATAATAATCAATCACAATCTTTATTGGCTCTTCATCAATGGTTACTTCATCGAACACCTGAACAATTAACCGAAGATATTATTGTTGGTGTTGCTTGTTCACAAGATGAATTAGGTACATCTGATTATACTCAAATTCTTCTTACAACAAATAATTCAACAAATGAATATCTCATTCCACCATTACCTAATCTTTTATTTATGCGTGATGGATTTTCAATTATTGATAATCATGTTTTTATTTGGCAAATGAATAAACCAACAAGAATAAATGAACCACTTCTATTACATATCATTTTTCAATATCATCCACATTTATCAAATTGTGGATTAGAAATTATCGAATGGCAAAAAAATATTGATGAAAATGATAAAGAAATTCCAACAATCGAAGGTGGTGATGTTGCTTATCTTGGTGATGGTATTCTACTTATTGGTTGTAGTGAAAGAACAAATCGAACTGGTATTGAAGCACTTACTCGAGCAGGCCTTTTTCATCAAGTTATTGTTATTATGATACCACCTGAACGATGTTACATGCATCTAGATACAATTCTTAGTTCAGTTGGTAAACATGCATTTACATTACATGGTCCATTAGCCGAAACTATGCAAATATATACTGTAGAAAATCAATATTCTCATCAAAAGACATGTTTAAAACCAAAATGGATATCACATGGTTGTAATGTTCGTCAAACTCTTCGAAAACTTCTTAATAATCCTGATTTAATATTTTATGATGCAAAAGATGAACAAACATCGATTGATGAACAACGACAATGTCGACATAATGTTGTTGTTATTGATGATTGTCATGTTGTTACGTATGCTGGTAGTGATGCTGACAAAGGTATTGTTACTTGTATGACTCACAATAATATGTGTCGAGTAGGTCTCATACCTTTTGAAGGTTTATTAGAAGGTGGTGGTGGTGTTCATTGTATGACAAATGCTGTTCGACGAAGACCAAAATAAAGTTCAATTTTTTCTACTTTACATATAATTTAATAAAATTTTCTATTTTATATGTATTATTTTTATTATATTCTCATTCTTCATATTGAATGTTATCAAAGTTTGTATTCAATATATCTTCACTATTTCACAAGTCTTTCTTAATTTTATTTTTTTTGTAATATGATAAATAAATAAAATACAACGAATTTTTATTAATATAAATAAATTTCAGTAGTATCATCTGATGATATCATAGAAGTATACAATATTAAGAAAGTTGATCATCGACAAAGTTCTTTGTTTTTTTTATATTAAAGAAATAACAGTTAATGAAAATATTATTATCCAAGTAATATATCTCAAGCACAAATTTCGCCCTCATCGTCATGATCAACTTATGAATTTTGTACTTATTGAAAGTGTAGTTCGCAAAGTCATGAGAAGCCACCCATCCCACACCCACACCCTCAAGATGGTCTCGAATTTACAAAATATTTTCGTAAATGATTAACTTGATTAAATAAACTTCAATAATGGGTGTGGGTGTCACATTGTTATTAATCTATGCTCACATCCTCAAAATATTGCAAAAATTAAGCAATAGCAAAATCGAAATCGAACAACGGCATCACTCAAACTAAGCATTTAATAGATATATTACGTCAAATATAGAACCAGTAACAACACAAACCTGCATTGATCTCTTCGCAGCCATGCCCCTCTTCATTTTTTTCTCTTCACCCTTACGTACAGTACACCGTACAATTTTTTTAATGTTTGTAACATCTTTCCATCAATAAAAAAGGATTTAATTCCAAAAACAAAAATTCTGATAAAATCTATTCATCCTCATAATTATCGAGTGCCTATAGAAATAGTGCAGACATATTTTTTTTCACTTATGGAAACAGTTAATCTCGAATGATATCAGTCTTTTAATATACTTTCTACACTTCATGTGTGACAAGAAATTGTATGAGGTTGCTGAATATATCACAATAATATACTTTTCTTAATATGAAAATATAAACTAAATTTGAAGAGAAAGAATTTATTATTACATTGTATTCTTATCTATCTGATCTGTTAGATATATGAATTAAGTTGAAATGAAAACTAATCATCAAATATAATAGAATTAGTTACAAAAAAAATATTTCTGACAACAGACGGTGTCAGTGTATTTTTTCTTTTCACTGGATACAAAATAAAAATAAAATATTTTATCCAAATAAGTCTACTGTTGTCTTTGTCAGGAAACTTTGCATTTCCTTTGTAAACTCATGACTTTCATGGTTGTTTTTAAGTGTCGAGAATATCATTATATTTTATCTAAAACAGTTTGCTTTTACATTCTTTTTTTGTAGAGTTTCAATATCACGAGCACTCATGATGGTAAATCACATTTGATATCAGTTCGTTCACAAATTACCTTTGAAAACAGGAAGTAAACACATTGTTTTTATATATTAATCATTTTTAATGTTGTGTTTGTTGCAATGACTTCACCAAAAAGATGTCCAAAAGCCTTTCATTAGTTTAATTTATTGAAAGTCAATTTTTTTCATGTTTTATGATGGAGAAAAATAGAGACAAGACTCTTGACTTATCAAACAAGAACGTAGAAAGAATACCAACTAGCATTGTTATCATTAAATTTATGAAAATCATTTCATGTACATTCAACATTTTCTAATCGATTAATATCAACAAACGTTTTTGATTTCGAAATTTAAATATTTCCCATTTTAGCATAAACTTGAAATCTAAGAAATTATCTCTGAGTTCACAATAATGAATATGATCATTCGAAATTTGTCTATTATAAACAAAAAGACTTGATTGTATAATTTGTTATTTTAGAAAGAAAACTTTCTTTCCGATATATATATAATTAGGGATTGAAAATAAAAATTCTTTTCGTGTACACTCAAATAATAGAATAAGAGAAAGTGAATTTTCTTTCGTATTGGAAATAATAGGAAAATAAAAGTAACTCAGTCATCGATTTTGCCAATGCTAATTCTTTCATTTTTCTATAATTAATATTATAAAATATATAAAATCTGTCATCTTATTTTACAAATCTAATGACATGTGCGATGTTTATCATAGAACAACATAACTCTGATGTGTTGCATTACATAAGTGAACAGAAAAAAAATATTTTATAATAAATGAAATAAATTGTTGTTCAAAGTATGAGATGGATCTATTTAAATGACTTGAATAAGCTTTTGAGATCGATTGTTTCCAAATTAAGACGAATTCTGCTCACCAATCAATTTATTTATTGTAGGAATGTTCATAAGAATGTATTTTTTTTTTATAAAAAAAAACCCTCCCTGATATTTATCAATGTTGTTTTATTATAAATATTTGAATATCTTCTTTTTCATCATAATTTTCTTCTATTCTTATCGTCCATCCTACGTATTGTATATTCATTTTTATTTTTCAGATAATCTTCTGTTTCCATATGTTATTTTATCGTCAGAAATGAAGATAGATATTATATGATATGAATATTTATTTGAGAAAACTGAAAATCTTTAGATGACAATTTTATTTTATATGTCATCTGTATTTCTAGATATTTGATTTTAAAAATATTGAAATAGTTTTACATTTGCACAAAATATTAACTATGGATCGTTTTGAAGTAGAGGTTTGTCATTTAATTTATTTGTAAAAATAAAATGAAATAATTTTTATTTTAATTAATTACTTTAGCCTGAACAAATTAACGTGAATTTACGACAACCATCAGCTAGTCAATCAGGATTATTGTATGTGTATGATATATTATTATAAAAAATAATAAAAACAACTGTTTATTTCAGACAGAAATATTGTCAAAACAGAAAATTAATGTGGATCATTATTTCCAGTATTACTGTCGTTCTTGTTTTGATCATAATTATTCCAATAGTTATTATGAAAACAAAACCATCCACAACAATCATAACAACAACAATGGTCACAACAGAAATTACGACAGAAGGTAGTCTTGTAAAGAAAATAATCTTTTTTTTGATGATATTTTGTATCTAGTCAATACTTCATATGAAAGAACAATAAGAATTGAATAAAACTGTATGATAATATTATTCTGAAATCAATTATGTACATGTGATTTGATAAATAGAAAACTAGTATATTTTGAGTTCAACAATTTGCTCTTTTAAAAGACATATTACCCTATTTTATGCAATGTTTTGTTCAAATATTATAGCGCTTGCATAATTGTAATGAAAAACTAATGTCGATTAATGTCTTTGTAATTGTCAAGATATTGTAATAACTGAAGAGAATATTATCGAGACGACGATGACGTCGTTGTGAGTGAGGATGTAAGGTTCTGCCTTCTTTTCATTCGCCCACACCTTCAATTCTTTCAGAATTAATAACAAAAATATAAATTCAAAATATTAACATCATTCTCTTTCATTTTAATCAAATCATTTTTTCTTGACTTTTAGAACAAACTAAATCAAAATATAAACACTGGAAACAAAATGGAATCACAATTGCCGGAGGAAATCAATATGGAAATGGATTAAACCAGCTCAATGAGCCTCACGGCATCTTAATTGATGACAACGCTATTATTATTACAGATTATGGTGAGTCGCGCATTCTTGAATGGAAAATTGGTTCGAAGGCTGGTGAAATCATTGCAGGTGGAAATGGACCTGGAGATAAACTTAGTCAATTGGTTCAACCTGTAGATATAATTCTTGACAAACAAAATGATTCTTTGATCATTTGCGATCGGAATAATGAACGAGTAATGCGATCGTTTCGTAAGAATCAGACAGATCCACAAATTTTCATTCCTAACATCGACTGTTATGGTTTGGCAATGGATAATAATGGATCTATTTATGTTACTGATTGGAAGAAGAGCACAGTCACACGATGGAAAGAAGGAGAAATAAATGGAACAGTAGTAGCAGGTGGAAATGACAAAGGAAATGAGCTCAATCAATTAAATTATCCTATTTATATTTTTGTCGATAAAGATCATTCTCTTTATATTTCAGAGTTGTCCAATCATCGCGTGGTGAAATGGAGAAACGGTGCGAAAGAAGGAATTGTGGTGGCTGGCGGAAATGGACGAGGAAATAGTCTCATGCAGCTGTCGTCTCCTCGAGGAGTGTTTGTTGATGATTTGGGTCTCATCTATGTCGTAGATCACTTCAATCATCGTATAATGCGTTGGTGTGAAGGAGATAAACAAGGTTCAATCGTTGTCGGTGGAAATGACCAAGGACAAGAATCCGATCAACTGTGGGGTCCCGTAGATTTGTCGTTTGATGCTGAAGAAAATTTATACGTTAGCGATTCTGGAAATGATCGAATTCAAAAATTTGAACTGTGCGTTACTGAAACAATCAGTTAAATTCGTAATAAGCTTCGTAAAACTGAATATTTTTTATTTTGACAAAACATGATTTACAAAATAAAATAAACAATGAACTAATTTCAATTTATCTTAAAAGATATTTTTCGAAGAATCCATTGTCACCGGTGAAAGACGATCAATATCGACAAAGTTTTGATAATTTCTCTCTTATTCTTTCTACTAAATGTTTGTTTTGTGATAAAATATAGTGTCAAAATGAAGATTTGAGTTAAATGTGGAAGATTGAAGATGAACACATTAGTGAGTTATTATTCATTTTCATCCGCTTTTACTAACATCCACAAGTCGAATAATCTCAACATAGTTTTTCTCATCAGTAATAGACGATCCATACATTCGCTTATGAACTCAATAAACAACTGTCCATCGATAGAGACATTTCCAAGTGCCAATGAAGATAGTATTGATGCTTTAATTAAAAGGTTAATTGTGTTTATCATTTGATTCTTCAACCTTTAGGCTGTGGACGTGGGTGAAGACATGTATCATACGCACTCACACCCATACTCACCCTCAGGAATGAAAATAGTTTGCAAACTAACGTAAGTGTCATAAAAATTTGAATGACTGCACATATTTTTTGTATTTTTTTACGAGTTTTATTTAAAAGCAAAGAAGATGCACCACTACTAAGCGAAGAAAAAAATAGTCGTCTAATCCAAAGTTTTGTCATTTAGTTTCTTGATGATAATTGATAATTTGGATTTAAACGAAGTCGAAATGCTCTCCATTTTTGTTTAATCATTATCTCGAATTCTTTCTTGTATATTTCTGATGTTAATACAAAAATGAAAAAATGAAGTATCGGTGGAATAAATGAAACGAAGTAACCAGCTAAGAAGAACTTGTATTCTTTCGCTGATTTCATACAATTAGGTAAAAAGGAAATAACCAAACGAGGAACAGCCAAGATAACCAATAAAATTGAACTAAGAATGAGATGTTTGTGTTGACTAAGTTGTTTTCTTAATTGTTGTTTAAAAGTGACTTCGTGCTGCACGGCTGAACGTTGTCTTGCAGTGAGAAAAATGATACCAATGGCTAAGATAAAATTAAGGGAAAAAGGAATAAGAAAATGAAAGATATTAATAAATCTATCATAAATTTCGACTTGTGGTGTAATACGAAGTACGCACCACGTTCTTTCTTCTTCGCTGTCATCGATAAGACGACGATGAATTGGATCATGAACAATAGTTGCAGCAGTTGATAGAAGAATGATCCATACAGTTCGTTTTGCATATTGTTTACTGGTTGTCTTGTTAAAACGAACACCTAAGAAAATAACAAGAAATCGTTCGACTGTTACACAAGCATATAACCAATCATTGGTGGCTAATAAGAATCGAAGTAGATATTCAATTGAACGACAATTGAACCAGAGGAAAGATCGACCAGTAATAATGTTCATTTGAGAGAGAATAAGAAACCATAATTTAATATTTAAAAAAATTAGTATTAAGATTGATGTTATTGATGAACAATATAGATAAAGACCACAACCTATTACTCGTGTTGATTTTATCTGAAATGTCAGATTTGATAAAATGCCACTAATGAGACCAATAATCAATATTAATATCGCTAAAGCTATACTAATTTTCACAGGTGGAGATTGTTCATTGATCGATAAATTTGGATAAATATGATAACCCAAAATAGAATCAAGTGAAAGACCAGAATGTTTTGTAGTGAATTGACATTTGTCACCATAAAAACATTCTCGACACTTACACATTGTTTTTGATGGACAATGTGGATGATCTTGAAAGCATTGCGCTTCATTCTGACAATCATTGTGACCCAAACAATCGTATGTCATATTAAAATCAAAATGAAAACAATTAGCATGTCTTTCTTGTGTACATAGACACATAAATGTCTCATTATCATGAAAACACATCAGATGAGAATGGTTTTTACATACTGTATGATAATATTTTACACGATGAAGAATCGGATAATCAGCAATAACTTTATCAAGTTCTCGAATGTGTCGACAACGTTGTGATAAAGAGATTTGTGTAGAAATAACAATTGAAGGTGTATGTTCATGTTGAAGTACAATCAAATAATAAACATTCTCAAGTTGAACGAAGACAAGATGAAATTCCAATGCCATATAAAATGTAATTATCTTTTGATAAAATTGAATTTTTTTAAAAATAGTTATTCGAGTTGGTGCTTGATCTTTGCTCATTTCTTCGAGTTTTATCACTTTGATGAAGTGAATCAATAGAGATTGGGTAGGTTCCACATCAGAAAATGACATATCGATTTGTACGTCTTTATCTTCACAAGTTTTACCAGAAAATCCCTCTGGACAGACACATGTAAAGTTAGCCAAAGAATGTCGAGGATCAGATGGTACACAAATACCTTTATTCTTACATGTATCCATTTGACAAATTGAATTAAGATAGCATCGAGGACCAACTTTTGTTAAAGAACAAAGACAAATTGATCGATTATTTGTAAAACCAACACAGATCGAGCCTGGTGAACAGTTACATTTGTATTTAATAATGGAAATCGAAGTTGTTCGATCTGAGTGACATTGACATGAATCAGGGTTAACATTTCTTAATGATTCGAGATATTTGTCGCTACATAATAAACGACAATCTTGATATTTTGGAACTGTGAGTAGAACACTCATACGATTAACAGGCATAAAAAGAAATTGAACGGGAAATATCCAACTGGTAATATAAGTGAGATTTCTTTTATTGTATGCATCGATATAAACTGAATAATTCTTTGTCATATCCTTTGGTCGATCTTGATAAAGAAGATGTAAATTGTATTTCGCATCACAATTAATCAAAGGAAGATATGTAATTTGTTCATATGAATGAATAAGACCAGTATGATCAACAAGTCTAATAACAATACCAATCACATGAAATTTTTCTAAGCTTTCTTGACGTATTCGAATAGTAAGAATAACACGTTGATTTTGATACTGACAAAAATTCCCATAATAATGTGATGAACAGAGACAATGTACTCTTTCATCTTTACCAACAAGAATTACAACACCTTGACGGCATAACGGTGCACGAGGGTCATTTTGATATATACGAGTATCGATTTTCATATTGTCCACTATACGATGTTGTCTGTATTTTTGAACAGAAGATGGTAATTGCATTGGAGGAAAATTAAGTGAAGAGGTATGGGAGAATGACGCTTTGAAATGAAACAAAATATTTTGTGCAGAGTCTAGATAGGTTACAATTTCCGAATGAAAATGATCACATAATTGATCGATATTGTTACAGTTATTACAACTTCGACAACGATCGGAAACTTCAACACATTTTGTGTGATTCCAGCAGCGATAATTTTTGGAACTATTTCTCGGACTTTGTAATTTACAATAAGATCGCTCATCAGTTGCCCCAAGACAATTAATAATTCCATCATCAGCTTGTTTCATATGTAAACAACCCATTGTTCGATTTTTTCCAGTGAGACAAGGATGCTCATCTGCAGAACACTGAAAACTTGATGAACAGTTGATTTCATCGATGCCTTTTGCACAATTCCATACTTTATTACATCGTGTATATTGATTTACACACTGCCATTCTTCACAATGAGTTTCATCAGTTTCATTTGTTAAATTGGATATATCAGTCCAATTGTCACAAATGGCAGAAAAAGGAAGTTCATGTATATCAGTTATGATACCATCCAGAGCAAATTCATCCTCTTTGCCCATACACTGTGCATGCCGATCACCCACGAGAATAGGTCGAAGACATTTTTGTTCTGATGTGCATGGAAAACGATCTGTATCATTCAATGCACATGAATTAGCTGAGATTGACTCGTCGAAATTGCGATAACAATCCAAAATTCCATCCATAATACGACGCTTAGGAATACATTTATTTGTTCCCAAACAACGTAACATTGTCAGATCTTGACAGTGAGTGTCATTTTCACTTTCAAATAATTGATTACATGAAATAAATAATTTATAGAAATCGCTATCTGATGACAACTTCAAAGCATCTATATGGATACATGTAGAATTTTCCACTATTAATGTTGGTATGATAAATGGACAACGTTTTTGATCATAGCATACAAACGTAGGTGTAGCTTCACTACTATAGGTAAATGTTTGATTAGAAAAGTAACCTAATCGAACATGACCACCCCATACGGGTATAGTAGGTGCAATAAATGCAGCTGGACACGAGTGAACAATTTGTATTTTACATTCTTTCACATTCTCACATAGATGTTTGCAATACTCATCGAATTCGTTCAATGAAAACATAACTGATGTACATACGAGAATCTTGAAACAGCGAGGAAATCGTGTATCTTTATTATTGTGCCAGCCGACTAGAAAGTTCCATACCTGATCTCGATTATTTCTACACTCAGATCTCTTGCGCGGCATATGACTCAAGAGATAATTGCCATCTCCACAGGCAAAACGAGAAGGAAATGGTGACATGATATCTTTGCACGTAAAAAGTGGAATAAACTCACATCTACTGTAGCTGAAGTGTTCATCGGATCTATCTAAACATTCTGGACTAATGAAACTAGTCAGTTCATCTAACAAAAACACTTTGTTAATACACATTCCATTGCGACATTGATATTCGTTTTCTTCACATGTGTTTAGCTCAAGTTCGAGACAATGTTTTTCATCTTCTCCACCATCGAGACAATCGACTTTTCCATCGCATATTTCACGCCAGTCGAGACAAATATATGGCGAACCACGATTGCACTTCAAATGTATATAACAACTAAAAGTCGTATTTACATATTCAATAAGATTCGAACAACTATCTATTGTTTCGATCATCTTTGCAAATGTTTGATTTGCAATGAATTTATATTGACAGAACGGTCCAAACCATGGTCGAGTACAATTATAAAATACTTCGTTCGATGAAGATTTGTTCATTTTTAAAAAATGTTCATATCGTTCAATAAGATCAATCGGAGTTGACCATTCCATTAGATTCTTTTCAGTTACATTTTTCTTCTTCAGTTCATCAAAAGTTAATATAGATGATATTGAATTTTCATCACTGTTCACTTCTATTTCTTCCCTAGATGTTCGAATGCAATATTCAATTATTTGATGAACTTCATATTCTTTTTCATTCAATTTGCTCTTGTCAGTTATACTTAAATAGAAACAATCATGAGAAATATCATTAATCATTACATCTGTATTGTAAAGATTGTTAAAAGGTTGCCATGTGTTTAGTTCCGATTTCATGACGACATCATCAATGATAATAACGATATTAAATAATAAAAATATATTCATCTTGATAATAATATACCTAAAATGATATTTAACCTACTGCGTGAAAGTCTTGACACAAACATATTTGTCGTCTTTCTCAATGTTCGCTATTTAGATGAATCAAACTAAGAATCTTTCATTTAATACTAATTCAATAGATATATTTGTTGTTTAGATAAAAATGGTTCGTTCTAATCGAGAATAGCTTGCAAAGTGTATTATACAACACTATACTACTATTGCAAACCAGGAAATAGCTTTACTGGGTGTGGGTATGGTTGTGGGTTGGTGTGGTTGTGAGTAGAAAAGAGAAACCATCACCCACACTCACACCCTACTCCTTAACTCAATACCCATCAATCATACTATCGTCCTCACCCACACTCAGCTCGATGCCCACCGATCAGAATTCTCGTCCTCCGCAATAGTTGAATAGTTGAGTTCAAATTTCAGGTATTACATACATGTATCTCATTGAGAATAGAGACAAGTAACGCATCTGCACTAGCTCATTAACATTTATCCATACTGTGATGGTTCTATCGTCTACTTATGTAAATCATTTAACTTCCATAAACATCTATTACTCTTTATTACAAAATAGATATTAAATATCAACTTACCGTATCTTCTGGTGTTCTTCTATACATTAAAGAGTTCAATTGAACTGAATATGTATGAAGATTTAATCAAATAAAAAACTAAAGATGATACAGAATAAGGTAGAACTCCTACTAATGCTGGAAAGAGTAAAAGTACAATTTAAGCAACTTAGAAATCTCTCTAACCACATCTCGATTATTACTAAATGACAAAATAAGCACCTTTTTTCTTCGTTTAATCTACAGTCGACTGCGTAATACAATGATTAAAATAATATGAATAAGTGACGTATATATATCTAGTTTTTCTCTCTCGTTTATCTCCACAATGTATATTATGCTCATAAATGTATAGATCTGACAACAGATGTTATTTCTTTTCTATTCACATTCACAGAAACATAAAATGATCGATGATATAACTCCTACTTTCTCTATTTTATTCTGTGACTGACTAAAACTATGAGTGTTCACAGAAACAGAAAAAAATTAAAGCAGGAAGTTGTGATATAAATGGAAAAACAATGGGAAAAAATGAAGATTAAAGAGCGGATACAACAGAAAAAAGAGGCATGAGAAATAGAAAAGGATATAGAGCTACATTTTACAATAAAACAAAACGACGGAAATACGAGCAGATGAAAAGAGAGGAAGTTTTATTTGTTGGATAAATTGGAAAAAAATGATGCATTCAACATTCTCAAACTCTAAAATACTACTAGAATATTGTCAGGTATATCGAATATTAATTTTTAGTGAATGAACAAAGTAGAGCAGTAAATAATTGAATCAGATCGATTAAATTTATGTATTTTAAAACAATTTGAAATGTTACATTAATGGTAAAGAACAAGAAAAACTGGTTCTATTTGTTTTCTTAGTTAACAGGAATTTACGGTGAAAATGTGTGATACTTATAACAAAATATAATTCGATTAGAACTATATTTATCATGATTTCATTTCAACAGTATAGATAATAACTTAAAAGGGTATGGGCGTGGGTGCTCATTTTTTCCCACCCACACCCTTCAAATCGCATCATTTACTTGAGTAATTCACTATCGATACGAATAGTTTCATAAAGAAATACAATCATCAAAACGAGATCATTCAAAATCACAAGAAAATAGTGTTTTTGATGGTTGCGCACGATGTTCATGATTATAATCGACTAAAAGATCATCAAGAGTTAATTATTCATCATTTGTAATATTCAACTAAATAGAGACTTTCAGCTTCTCACCTGATAATGTGATTTTAATTTGTGTCTGATCATAATGAATGGATCTTTCTCAAGAATAGCAGTGACAATTCATATTAATTAATTTTCATCATCTTGTGCAAGTTGAATATTGAAGAAAAATCCAGGCGATACGTATAATACTAAATTTGAAAACAAACAGCTCAATCATTTGGTAGTTCTAACTGATTATTTGTATTAATTTCAGCTATTGACAATTTTAGTGAACTTTGTGGATTAAACAATAAATAATGAACTGAAGTTGTATTTAACCTATAATCATGATCATACGGATAGTGAATGAGGATGAGAGTCTTCGTGGGTGTGAGTCAAGAAAAGATGCATCCACATCCACACCCACCATCGGGATTCATATGATATTGATGAATTCATTCTGTAATTTGTAAATAATATTTATACAAACAATAAATATTTCTTTTTAACATTTTTGATACTTTATTTTAAAAAAATTTAATCTATCTCAAAGCATACAACACATATGTTTATAAATAGGTTTATGTCAATAAACATATCAGTAGTGGATTTAGGGAGACAAAAGAGGCGGTCACCCCCTTCTCCCTAATAGTTTTTAGCCGAAATCGCCCCCTCCCCCTACTTAAATATCACCCTTCCCTTCCAAAATCCTAGATTCGCCACTGATATATGATCTTGCTGCTTACGATCTCTAAAAAGAGAATAGAACTTCTCAACACATATATATTTATCTGTTTGTTTCCTTAATATAAAAATAGTTAATATATCAAATTTTAACTATAATCATGTGCAAGGAAAGATTAATATCTTTAGTAATACTTATTTTTATAGATTAAAAGTGAATGTACGAACATGTAGTTTTCTTTTAGTTGATTGCTTTTAAAAAATAAGAGAAAATGTTCGCTTCGAACAATACATTTACTGATTGATTTTATATTTTTAATCACAACAAATTCTTCCATCAAATTCATATACACAGCTATCGCCTTATAATATCGAATCCGAATTGAATGGGTATACATTTATATTATCACAAAATCTTCATCTCCTGTATTTGTTACTTATTCAAATTATTCTCCTTGTTTTCATTTATAATTCTGCAAGCGATTAAAAAGTTACTAGTCAAGATAATATTTTGAATTAAACTACTATGTGATCAAAAGAAATTTTCGTAAAAGTTTAGATGATCTATTTAAAATTGTTGATCATTTACGAAAATGAAAAGTTAACGCCATAGATAGTTGTTTAAACAAGAAAGATTGTATTGATACACAATAAATCTGTATGCCATGAAAGCAAAATGACGGAAATTATATTATCATCCAGGTGCTTTGAGCACACAAAAACTCATAAAAGTACTAAATAAAGAAAAGATTTTTTAGTTATCCAGCTATAATAAATATGAAAAGTCATGACAGATTTGTCTTTTTCTTTATCTAAGGATTATAAACTTATAGTAATTAACAATGGTAAGAATATATTGAAATAGAAATGAATTATTTACATTTCAAAAGATTCTCTCAATCTCTAGTCAACGTACTTTGTCTAAGTTACTGAGTAGAACATATTTTGCTCTAGATTGATTTAATAAATGTCTTCGTTATCAGATATTACATTACTAGATTATGCAACACCTCAGATCAATCGTTATTTTGGAATATTTATTTTTTTCTTTGGCATGATTGGTAGTATTTTAAATATATTGGTTTTTACACAAAAACCATTGTACTTAAATCCCTGTGCACGACTTTTTCTTATGTCATCGATAACAAGTATTATTGCTTTTATGTCTGGTTTAATAACTCGAATTTTATCTAGTTGGCAACTTGATTTTAGTGAAACGAATCGAGCTCTTTGTAAATTACGTGGATTATTTGTTTATGCTTCAATGACATCAAGTTTTTGGTTAATTGCATTAGCTACAATTGATCGATGGCTTTCATCAAGTCATTTAACTTCTCATCGACGAAAAAGTACACTAAAAAATGCTCAACGTGGTGGAATTATTATTATTAGTTTATCAATTGGAATTTATCTTCAAATACTTTATTGTTTTGATGCTAATTTAATTGATACACCTATGCAATGTTATGGTAAATCATCTCAATGTCGTATATTAACTGATTTATCATTTGCATTAATAACTATCTTATGTCCTTTATTAATAATGATATTCTTTAGTTTAATGACAATCTCAAATGTTCGTCAAATTCATCATCGAATACATCATCAACCATTAAATGTTATCATACAACATAAAAAAGTCGATCGTCAACTTTTAATAATGCTCTTTTTTCAAATAACTCTTCTATTTCTATTATCTATTCCATTATCTATACAAAGATTATATTTAACATTTACAAATAATGGTTTTAAAACCACATTACAAAAATCTATTGACAATTTTGTTTATAACTTAACTCTTCTTTTTATTTATTTAGCTAATGGAATAACATTTTATCTTTATACAATAAGTGGTGGAAGTACATTTCGAAAATCTTTATTCAATCTATTCAAAAGATGTCAACGTATAATTCACTAGAACGTTTTTGTTTTGTTGTGTATGAAAGCAAAAAAGGGTTATTGTGATCTTTTGATTAAACAAAGAATAAACGTCAAGATAAATAATAAATTCTTTCAATTATCATAAAAATAATCTTACACCAACAAAACTTATAACAATTGACATAAAATAATTTCAATGAATTATTCAAAGACTTGCATGCATTCATTAGACATTGTCTCTTTTAATAATACAAAAAGACAAATAGCAATTCTTTTGTTTTTTATATAAATCAATTCAGGAAATAATATAACAAAGGCACCATTTTTTTCATATTTGAATAATAATCACATGTTCATATACTTGTATACTTCACAATGACATCTTTGATCAATAAACATGTAACAAAATAGATTACCTACTATATTTAGATAGTTTCAATTCTGTATATTGTTTTTAAGAATAATCGCTTATTTATTCTATTCAAAAGAAGAAAAAGATTCTACTATTTGTTTTTCTCTAACAACAAATGCGTCGTACGTCAATAATAATAGAACGACAACAGTGATTAATCGTAAATAAGTAAGTAACTGTTCTCTTTTCCTCGACTGTATTCAATACAGAGTACCGCATAGGGAAATCTTTATATCTAACCATCCTAATTACACTTCGAATTATTGGGCATGTAAACTTATAGGATATATATGTCACAATTTATGATATTCTGCTGCTTAAAGTTTGTATATAACTATGTAACTAAGATTTTAAATTTAGGAAATTATTATGATAGAAATGAAATTAGATTTATCCAAATAAGTTTCTTTTTTCCGAAGCTGAAGCAGTTGTATTTCAGATGATGTTTCAATTAGAATATCATTAACAAAAGAATCAAGCTTTTATTAGATAGAGTTTAAAGAGTGAATAAAAAGTAATTTATTTTTCAACCCTATAAATAAACTTCAAGAAGAGTAAACATCGTAATAATGGGTTATTTATATAACTAAATAATCGCAAAAAAAAGAATAATAAAATGATTTATATATAGATGTGCTACTATAAAGGAAAGTGCTTCAGCAGCGCTGCAAGTCATACAAAAAGAGAGTTAGAGTGATAGATTTCTACTTTAAATGAAACAATTCATACAATAACAAGTAATTACTGTTGTTGAGTTAGAGATATTATCTCATTAAAGTCGTACGTGACGAACGTAATCGAAAATAATGCATTAATTTAAGACAATATATTATTCTTTTCAATTCTATACAGTACGTGTTTTATAAAAAGTAGTTAGTCATCAGCATATTCCTTTCTTATATGTTTAAAAATTCGTCAATATATTTTATGTCAGTTTCAGTTGTATTAAAAAGAATAGTTTGTAAATAATTAAAGTTACATATGTAGCCGATAAGTTAATAACTGTTTCAATAGTTCTATTTTCTGATTATTCGGCGATAGAATAATTTATTCTCACGTGAAAAATGTGACACGTATTTTCTCTAATTAGTAAAAATCTTTTGTGATTTGTCGAGAATAATTTTTACTTCTTTTTCTGTTTTGTGAAAGTGATATAACGTGTTAAAAAGAAATTAACATTCACAATCTACGACAAAAGTATACGTGAATACAATATTTTTCCATTTTTTTTCTTATATTAACGGGTATTGACTTGATTCAAACGTCAATCTAGATAGTATGGGAGACCTACTACGTGATGCATTAAAAGTGTAAGCTACCTTTATCTTTATCGATTTTTTTTCGTGATAAAATAGGTTTCTGAGCTTTACAGTATTTTTTAGAGAATTTCTAGCTTGACTGATTGGTAAAGAACACTTTTTTGTTTAGAATTTACTGTTGCTTTAGAAACATCATTTCAATGAAAGAATCATTTTAACTGAAAAATCCATAAAGACAAAGGTTACTTGCACTTTTAATACATCATTGGTTAATTTTAGATGAAAATAATAATCCAAAGTTCACTATTCATATTTCCAAATATACAAATCAAGAAGAAAAAAATGGCTTAGATTAGTAGTATGTTAATATTTTTTATATTATTAACATTGTTCATACAATAAGTATAATTTCTTCTAAATCTTGAGAAACATGACATAAGAAATTTTTTTTCACTTTGATAATTTCAGTTGTTCTTTCTATATTGACAATGTATGTATATCTAAATGCTTATTATAATAGACAATAATTTTTATTCAGATAGACTGATTAATTATATTAGAAAAACCAGCAAATAGAATTATTAGTTTTTTACATAAAAAATATAGCAAAGGTTAAAAAGCAACCTTTAAGTGCATGTACCGATGAGAATAAAAATAACTGACAAAGTCAATCAGAAACTAGGTTCATAATTGATGAGATTAATAAATGCCATAGGAACTTCCTTTTTATATCGATGTTTATCGATGCATAAATACCATGTAAATTAAGAATGAGTTATATACTTGCTTTTGTTCCTTTAAATAGTCACTTCAATAAAACATTCTACTATGGTGAGATTAATTTAACTAATAGTTTTTTTTGTCAATCATTTAGTCAATGTTTGAAAAGAAAAACAACGCACCCATATAGTTTGTTTCTCTCTCAGTCAATTGAATATGATAGGTTTTTATTTTTTATTTTATAATCTCGAGGAGAAGTATTATTTTACGAGCTATTTTTATTTATAAGGATGTGCACAAAATAGAAGGATTTCCGACAGTATCTTTTTTTTTGATTAATTTTTTTGATAAATTTATATAGAAGAAAAATATGTAAATAATTAAATGAACTTTGGTTTGTCGATCTAGCTCTTGCATATGTTTTGATGTCAATAAACAAACAAAAATGAGTCAAGTTTAGTTTCCGTTAATTAATAATACCAAAATTTTTTCTGATTTTGTTCTTCTCTCTATCTTCCAAATGTTTGCTTTCCTTTTACTGAATCTATATTAGTAATACGAATAATGTCCTTATTGAGTTCATAGTTGTCTTTTTTTTCTCTTGCTTCCAGCTTGTTTGAGAGATGTCATCATTCTTTTTGATCTATAAAGTAAAGTTGACAATATCCTGGATTTTTTCCATTATAAAGGTAAGATTTTCTTTTCCATCTTTACTCGATCCAAATAACAGCTGATAGTTGATATTTCATTATTCATTGTAGATAATTTTGTATCCATACGTATGCCATAAAAAAGAACAAATGGTATATGATAAGAGACATCCCTTGTATTAACAACGTCTTCATTACCTAGACAAGATGTCGTCAACAACAACAACGACGTCAGATACAGAACTTATTGTATCATGGCATGAAATGTCATTACAAATAAATTGTTATTTTTCCATATTTTTGTTTGTATTTGGAATTATTGGAAATATTCTTAATATTTTTGTTTTATTACAAAAATCACTTCGATTAAATCCATGTGCATGGTTATTTCTTATATCATCATTTGCAAATATTATTGTAATATTATCTGGTTTATCAACAAGAATTATATCAAATTGGACAATCGATTTAACAGATACAATAGGATGGCTTTGTAGATTTCGTGTTTTTATTCTATATACATCCAGAACAATTGCAACATGGTTAATCTTATTAGCAAGTATTGATCGTTGGCTTTTATCAAGTTTAAATGCACATTATCGAAAATTTAGTACATTAAAAGAAGTTCAACGTGGAACAATTCTAATTATGATTTTTTCAATTATTACTTATTTACCCATATTTTATTGTTATGAAGCAAATTTAATTAATACACCACTTAAATGTTATAGTAAAACAATTCTATGTCGTATATTTATTGATCAAAGTTATATATGTGTAACTATTTTATTTCCATTAATCTTAATGTTTTTATTTGGTTTTATGACAATGTCAAATGTACGTAAATCAAAATATCGTGTACAATCACCACTTTTATCAAGAATAAATTGTCATGATCATCGACAACGTCATTTTAAACTTATTGATCGTCATTTATTAATTATGCTTCTCGTACAAATTAGTTTTCTTGCTCTATTAACACTTCCACAAGCTATACAACAAATCTATTCAACAATCACAAGAAATCAAATAAAAACTTCTCTACATATTCAAATTGAAAATTCAATTTATTCATTTGTTATATTATTAACTTATTTAGCTAGTGGAATACCATTTTATATTTATACATTATGTGGTGGATGTGTTTTTCAAGAAGCTTTCTTTATTCTTATGAGACGTATAAAACGAATAATTATATGTCAACAAAAATAGTCGTTTTTTTCTTGTTATTATGATAAATATATTAAAATGAAAAGCATCTTTTCGTTTTTTACACTTTGAACACATATTGATAATAACAATAGAGTGTTAATATTGCTTCAATTCCGAGATGGAACCGGACAGATTTTCTCTATTCGGTCCGGTCGGAACGGTTCCAACTTTGCTTCAATTCAATGATGGCACTTCGAGAATAATCTTTAGGAAATTCTAGTTTTTGCTCTATTGATGTAGACAATATTTCATAAAAGATGAGAATATCATTACCTTTTATGATTTTTGATTAATCGTAGATAATTTAACAGAGATTGAATTACAATTTTTATTAATGACACGATAAGAAAATTAGAATTCTTTTCATAAACGTGAATACAATCTGTATATTACATTTCCTTAGAAAAAAATATTTAATCCTGTGAAAAAGCTTTTTGAACTAAAACTAATTAAAATCAACGGGATATTATATTCATTTCATCTCTCGGTTCACAGTATGTCATTGTCGAGGAGTATAATACTTTTGATTTGACATCTTTCTAGAAAGAGAAAAAGTGCGTATATAACGGTATAAATTCACATCTTTTTTTTAACGTTGCATTCATAGATTTGATAAATGTCGTCTTCATCGGATAATGTTATTATGGCATCGTTAGACAATGCATTAATACAATTAAATCGATATTTGGCAGTATTTATACTTCTTTTTGGTGTTATTGGAAATATTCTTAATATTTTTGTTTTATCTCAACGAAAATTACGAATAAATACATGTGCATGGTTGTTTCTTATTTCATCGATTGTCAATATAATTGCGTTGATATTTGGTCTTATAACACGTATTCTTTCTACTTGGTCATTAGATGTTACAGCTACAATTGGATGGACTTGTAAACTTCGAGCTTTTATTTTATTTAATTCACGAACAATTGCTTTTTGGTTAATTACATTAGCTTCGATTGATCGATGCCTTCTATCAAGTCGTCATATTTATTATCGACAAATGAGTACATTACAAAATGCACAACGAGGTTTTATTGTTATTGTATTGATTTCAACAATCGTATTTATTCATTTAGTATATTGTTATGACGCAAATCAAATAAATAGTCCATTAAAATGTTATGGTATATCAACATCATGTCGTCTTTATTCGGATTTAACTTTTGCATTCATTACTGTTATCATACCACTTGTATTAATGAGTGTTTTCGGTTTAATAACAATTTCAAATGTATTTCAAATTAAAAAGCGTATCTATCCAGCAGAGAAATTCGATGGAAAAATAATACATAAAATAAGTTTTCCTACAAGAAAAACAGACCAACAATTATTGGTTATGCTTTGTATACAAATTATTTTACTTGGTATATTTACTGTACCATTAGTTATTCAAAGATTGTATACAACGATAACGATGAATGCAGTTAAAAGTGCTTTACAGAATAAAATCGACAATTTTCTTTATAATTTTTTATTTTTATTGTATAGTATTGCAAATGGTATGCCATTTTATATTTATACATTAACGGGTGGAAGTACTTTTCGAAATGCTCTTTTCAAACTTTTATTTCCCAATAAACAGAAAATTGTTGGATGATGTAAAAAATAGTTTTACTACTGTATTTTATACAATGTTGTTAATTTAGTCAATAAAAGAATAAATAATTCACTGATGTTCTTAATAAATTTAATCAAGAAGCATTCTTTAAATAATCCACATGTTTTTTTACAAACCTACACATCTATTTTTATGGATAATTTTAATTAGAAAGGATTACTGAAATAAATTTTAAAGCTTCCATTGCCATCTATGTTTTATGGTACTGTTTTTTCTATTGACAAGAACATGTGAGACATATATGTCAGCGCATATGTGCACCGTATAATATCAAAAACAAGAATTTTTGACTATAACTATCAGAGTTGTCTGATACCATTGAGCAAACCATACTTTGAAGTGTATTAAAAACTTTTCCGATTTTCGTTAGCACTCATATTGGATCATATCTATCAACTGTCAACATGAATTGCACGAGTAGATGATGTAAATTCTCCATTTTATTTATATCATTGATATACCTCGTATGTTGAAGTAACTAATGAAGACCATGTTAACGGATACTTTTCTACATGACCCTTAACATAATTAAAAAAATCTTGTTTTTGCACAGTTCTATTTATATCAAACAGCTGAATAGAAAAAATTTTATTAAACTAATTCGAGCTATCGGGTTCCTTTGATGAAAGAAGTCTCCGAGCAAAACAAAACGTCTATTTCGATAATCTTCTTCTCATTTTGATACATCGAGGTATTGGCTACAGAGCTTTTATGGCACGTGCCTTTTAATATAAGATATATTCTTTAAATAGAAACGAACAATCACATAACTCAACTTTATTAATAAATAATTTAGTTTTTAGAGATTTTTTACGAATAGCAAATGGTATGGAAAAAAATTTAATAGTATAAATCTTGTGTTGAATAAAATCTAAATTAAAACTCATCATTATTTTCCAATAAATAAGATAATGAACTATACCATATTCTTATTTTCTCTTTCATTTTGTTATTTAATTTTGAAATGAAATCTGCTGATTGAAATAAGTATTGACTATACGAAAGTGTCCACTATATAGTGATTCATTTCGTGCAAAAATGAACTCTTTGATGTGCGTAAAATAACTTCTGTAGAAATCTACTTTATGTTTCTTAAAAGTTTTTGTCGTGAGATACAAGACCATAACTTTGTATAAACTGTAACAACAGAACAAATAATAAGGTATCATTTGAAATGACTTCTATACCTATGTTTTTCATTATATAAAAATATATTTCCTGATTAGAGTTTCAAGCTATGAATACAATGATGATAAAATAAAGCCGAAAACCAAATTTTCAGTGTTATTCTGATCATTAAAGTATAATTCATGTACTTGCATCTATCTTATTTTCTTTCCAGGCAATAGGATAAGTTGAAAATAGTTCATACAAGTATTTGTTTTAAATATAACCATAAAAGAGTAATCTATTTAAAAGGATATTATTTTTGATTATTTAATAAATGATACCAAAATATAATGATCTGTCCTTTTACATAGTATCACAGAGTAAAATTCAGTTGTACGACAAAGACAGATAGATTCATAATGAAATGAATATCTCTTAAAACTATTTAAAGATATATAATATATCAGCTCATCATTTCATACTACGATGACGTATGACTCTGTTTTTCTATTAATGAAAATATGTTATCTATTAATCATTATCTCATTTTCAATTCAAAAGTATGAGAGATAAAGATGTATTTATAAGATTTATATTATTATTTAATCTGAATAAATTTATGTAAATGAATCATTGTCAGAAAAAACATACTTTTAGTTTTATTCAATACCTTCAAAGTATCTATTAATATCGCATAAATATAGAATCAAAGCGGAAGTGTCGTACTTTGAAAAATTGCTGCCTAACAACCGTATAATTGTAAATTAATTTAATTAATAATTAAAAAATAGAGCATTGAAGCTATAGAATAAACTCATGTGACATAAGTTTACTGTTGGTATAACATTGTTGTGATTGGCATAATAAGCAGAAAGAGAATTTACTTGAAAATACTTGCTTCCGGTTCTATTGAATGAGATTAGTCAAAAAAAGATACAACTATGGATAATTGGTATGTTAATTAAATGAATTATAAGTATAAAACCTTGAATAAGAAAAATCTATTCAATTTCTGATAGCGAAAAGTACTTCTCAAAATCGTAAATAGTTTTCTTATCAGTTTCGGAGATCGAAAACTATAACCGTTATGATCTTCTTTGAAAATTACACGCGTCTACGGACATATGAACATTTCTCATTATCATAAAATGAGCAATCTTGTGATACGCCCTACTGTGAGAGAAAGGCTGACAAATAGAAAAAAAAGAGAAGATAAACAGATATGCTTGCTTCTGTCATTTCTCTTTTCAGTACCATTATTTTTAATGTCATCAAACATCAATTTAACCGACATGCCATTTGATGACTATCTTATATTATCACTAAATAATATTTCGACTCAATTTAATCGCTATATTTCTATACTCATCTTTTTCTTTGGTGTTATTGGAAACATCATCAATATTTTTGTTCTATCTCAGAAAAATTTTCGTACTAACTCTTGTGGATGGCTTTTTCTTATTTCATCGATTGTTAATCTTATTTCACTTTTTTTTGCACTTATTACTCGTATTATGAACGGTTGGGCAACTGATCCAACAGAAACGATTGCATGGCTTTGTAAATTTCGTGCTCATATTGTATTCTCATCAAGAACTATCGCATTATGGTTGATCACATTTGCTACAATTGATCGTTGGTTTCTATCAAATATCAATGTACATCGTCGACATTTAAGTACATTAAAAAATGCTCAACGAAGTGCAATATTCATTACAATCTTTTCAATTATTCTCTATGCTCAAATGTTTTATTGTTATGAAGCAAATCTTATGAATACACCATTGAAATGTTATGGTAAAACAAAAGTTTGTCGTCATTTAACAGATCTATCATTGACTTTTATTACTGTTCTATGTCCTTTATTTGTTATGATTATATTTGGTTTGTTAACTATATCAAATATTCGTCAATCTCATCGTCGAATACAAATATTAAAGACTGAAAATATTGATCATAGTGTAAATAAATCATCAGGATTATCTAATGAAAATCCACAACAAAAGTTAAAAAGAAAAACTGATCGAAGTCTTCTTCGAATGTTGTTTGTACAAGTAATTATTCTTACGATACTTACTCTTCCATTATCAATACAAAAATTATATTCAACAATATCTAGCGAGAATATATCACCAGTAGAAGATGCAATTGATATGTTTGTTTATAACATGGCTATTTTACTTTATTGTATTTCGAATGGAATGCCTTTTTATATTTATACATTATGTGGTGGAACTATTTTTCGTAAGGCACTTTCTGATTTTATCCAAACCATGAAACGAAAAATTATATGTTAATTAAATTATTATTTTTTTCATGTTAATAAATAGTTTTCTCATTGCTGGTTATAATACAATCATAAAAAATGATTGGTGTTCGATTTGTACTATGATTATATATTTTAATAATAACGATTGAATGTGAATTTAATCTATATCAGCCCTTCGGTTTATTTGACCTATTACAGACGAGAGACGTATATTTATGTTCGGTTTTGAATGATTGAAACGAAACTTGTGTTAACCTTTTATCGTGTAATTATAATTATAACATTCCAGAACAATATTATATTATATTAGTTATTCGATAATAAAAAGCTATTTTTTTTCAGAAATAAGTATTCATCGATAATTGAAATGCTAAGAATACTAATAATCAACTGATTTTTCTTTAAATATAGTAATACAATGTGTTGTTAATTAAGTTCATTTTAATTACATTGAACAAAAAAAGACATCTTTCTTTTTAAATATATGAAACAATAATTTTTATTGGAATGAATGATTTACATGAGCATAGGTTTTTAGAGAATGAAAATTATTCATAATATAATCTTTTTAGGCCATCAAACTATTCTTCACCATGCTTTTCATACATTTAAATCATCTACTTAATGAAACTATAGTAATGAACGGTGAGAAAGAATGAATAATATGCAGTTTCGCTTTTCTTTTCAAATTCGTTTCTTTACACTCTCTCTTCGTTCTGATAAGTAACTATACATACAAAGATGAAAATAGAATCGTAAGAATAATAAAACTGCATTAACGTTTGTTTGTTGCATTGGCAATGTACTTTTTTTTATCAATCTTTCTTTTTCCTTATATTTGTATTTTATATGACTAACTATAGATCATCGATATAGCTTTTTTTCACGGACTGATTTGAAATCAAAACAAGCCACATGATTATTCATAATAATGATATTTTATTTTTAGATTTAAACGAAAAGAAATTATTTGTCTTATATAGAATACTTGTATACTGCACATAATTCTCTCAAAATACTATTAACAGCGTTTTTTCTTCAGATTTCCATGCAGTATAACTTGTAATGAACATAAGTGTAGTGATGCATGCTTGTATACTATTTCAAGATTATTGCCATATTTATTCAACTTCTTCGCTTTGATTAACTAAAATCAATATTTATTAGATAAAAACGGATAATGCATAGATTCTTTTTTTTAATATAGTTTTTCTGAAATTTTCGATGATTTCTACCTTATAAATACAATATTTATTACAATAGAGTCATCCATGTTGTATTGAAATAATTCTTCTGATGTACAAAAAGATAAACAATATATCACTTGACAAGGAAATCACTTTGCAAATTCGTTTTTTTAATACGAGAACAAACTTCCATCTGAATACCTCACAGCGAAGCGTTTATCTAACTTCAAATAATGTATCATTTGATAAAGTGCTCAATAAGCCTCTTTTCTCATGTAAAGCATATAGTTTTTGAGCACTTCTTTTTTTTTGGAACGTTCGTTTTTCAATTACTATCAACAATTGAAATACCCATTTACATCTTTCTGAATACAAAATAATTCCTTTTTTGTTCAAAAATATGTTTAATATTTAAATTATGAAAAACATTTTTAATATTTTTTATATTTTTTAACAGCTATTTTAATAAAACTGTTCAATGGTCTTGTACGAAACGCTTTGCATGTTTTAACAGAGAACAAAAAAGCTTCTTTGGTCTTACTTTCATCAATATTAATCGTACGGTTTTTTCCATTCATTGGCATAATGTTTAAAGCATGTTCTATGTACAAAAATTCACAAAGCTTCTTTCCTTGATTTTTTTATCATCAATTTCATACATTCATCAAACATTAATATGATGTTTGACAAAGAATGTAAAAGAAGAATTAATTCGGTGAAAGAATTGTGTTTCTCTTTCTACCTATAGTCGATGAGAAAGAAGTCGCCTACACGTTGAAAAACTGCAGTAATAGTGTAGACAGAAGCAAGAATGAGTTGGAAAGAATAACAATAAAATGAATTCAAATGTTGGATTCTGTTTTGTTCGTTCTTTCAATAACATAATCAACAAATTTGTTTATTTTGATCTGTCCTTTGCTCTGCACAATATTATTTTCAAACGTAACTTAGTGGAATTTGTTTTTGAGCGACAACAAAAACACACAAACAATCGAAGTCGCTGAAAAATCAAGAAAAAACAAGTCACTGTCTATATAAAGAAGAACGGTAATCTTTTGTTTCATTCAAACGAGAACGTCTATTAACAAGTTCACCTTCAACAACAAACTACCACAAGATCAGAATGAGCGAATCAAAATCAAATCAAAATGCTGCTGCTGCATCATCAAATATTCGTCAACCACGACAACGTATGGTACAAAACTACCTTCTCCTCTGGGTAGATGCCAACATCGACCAAGCAAACAAGGACTGTCAGAATACACTGGCTCAACTGAAGAGCGTGGTCAACGATGTCAACGTATGCACGGAACCGAATCAGTGCATTCAAGTACTCAAGAAGATTGACAAGGAACAAGCCTTTGTCATAACATCAGGCTCATTAGGTCAACATTTGGTTCCTGAAATTCATGACACACCACAGCTAGATGCCGTTTACATCTTTTGTGGCAACAAATCTCGACATGAGGAATGGACTCAAAACTGGACAAAAATCAAAGGTGTCCATACCAACATCAAAGAAATATGTCAAGCACTACAATTGGCGGTTAAACAATGTGACCAGGACACAATTGCCGTAAGTTTTCTTACGATAAATGAAATGACTTCAACTGATAATTTAAATCAGTTGGAACCAACTTTCATGTACACCCAACTATTCAAGGAGATCCTCCTTGATATCGAATACGGTGATAATGCAACCAAGGACTTAGCAGCTTGTTGCCGCGAAGTCTTTACTGGCAATCCAAATGAATTACAAGTGATTAATGAATTTGAACATGATTATCGACCACAAAACGCGATATGGTGGTATACACGTGAGTGTTTTACCTACAAAATGCTCAATCAAGCACTTCGAAATATGGATGCCGATATAATCATTAATATGGGCTTCTTTCTACGTGATGTACATCAACAAATTCACCAGCTGTACGAACAACAAGTCACTGGTTATGGAAGAAAATCTTTTGAAGTTTATCGAGGACAAGGTCTTATGAAAACAGACTTTGAAAAACTTATGAAAGCAAAAGGCGGACTTATGTCATTTAACAATTTCTTATCTACTAGTAAAGATGAAAAAGTGTCCCGCAGTTTTGCTCGACGTGCTTCGGCAGAACCAAATAAGGTGGGAATTGTCTTTATAATGTCCATCGATCCTTGTTTGAAATTAACACCATTTGCCTCCATCAAAGAGGTGAGTTATTTTAAGGAAGAAGAAGAAATTCTCTTCTCAATGCACACTGTGTTTCGAGTGAATGCAATTAAACAAATGGACAATAATAATCAACTTTATCAAGTTGAATTACAATTAACATCGGATGATGATCAAAAATTACGATTACTTACTGATCGGATACGAAAGGAAGTCGTTGGTAGTACTGGATGGCGAAGACTGGGTAACTTATTGCTTAAAATTGGTCAATTTAATAAAGCTGAAGAACTTTATAATGTATTACTCGAACAGACATCTGATGAGGGTGAAAAAGCGCATTATTACAGTCAACTGGAACATGTCAAACGTGACCAGGGTGATTATGAAAAGGCTATTTGGTATTATGAACAAGCAATTGAAATTCAACAAAAAACTCTTCCTTCAAATGATCCTGATTTAGCTACTTCATACAACGACATCGGTTTGGTGTATAACAACATGGGACAGTACTCGAAAGCACTTTCATATTACGAAAAAGCGCTTGAAATTTATCAAAAAACTCTTCCTTCAAATCATCTTGATATGGCTACTTCATACAACAACATCGGTAGTGTATATGACCACATGGGAGAGAACTCGAAAGCACTTTCATATTACGAAAAAGCGCTTGAAATTAAAGAAAAAAGTCTTCCTTCAAATCATCCTTCATTGGCTACTTTATACAACAACATCGGCAGTGTCTATGACAACATGGGACAGTACTCGAAAGCACTTTCATTTTACGAAAAAACACTTGAAATCTTTCGAAAAGCTCTTCCTTCAAATCATCCTTCATTGGCTACTTCATACAACAACATCGGTGGTGTGTATAAAAAGATGGGAGAGTACTCGAAAGCACTTTCCTATCATGAAAAGGACCTAGAAATTTCTGAAAAAAATCTTCGTTCAAATCATCCTTCATTGGCTACTTCATATTGGTGCATGGGAAGTTTGTATGAGAATATGAAAGACTATTCGAAAGCACTATCATATTATGAACGGGCTCTGGACATATTCCAAAGTGCATTTTCACCAACTCATCCTCATATCAAAAGTGTGAAAAATAGTATTGAAATTGTAAAAATTATAAAAAATATTTGATAAGTAAAATGTTTTGTTCACTTATTTTTGAATTCGATTTTAGTAACTAGCGAGCGTGTACACAGAACAACTATGCAAATAATAAAAATGTAATAGACAAAGTCGACTGATGATGTAATACACATACATACGTATGTGTATAAATGACGTTCTCAGACATATTTACATTTCTAATTCCTTACGAGAGTGTTCCCTGTAATAAGAAGAAGAATAACTTATATAGAACTAAATTGTAATAGTGTCGAACGAGATCTCGTATGATGAAGAGATGGTTAAAAAACTGCAATATATACATATATATATGAATATGTCGTCAACACATGTTCTAATTGTATTAATCAATAAGTATTCATTATTAAATAGAATTAAGTGAAAAGTATAATCACTTATTCGTGATGTATTGATCAATTTAGTCATATTGAAGATATGATGAATTGTAATTTATTTTACGATGTAGAAAAGTCAATTATAGTTCTCAGATCTCGGATTTAGACTACGAGAGAAATTGCTCAAAGAGATGTTTCACAATGATGTCTCTTTTTTAATGGTCACTACACTTAAGTGTTTCACAGAGGACACTAAGTCATAGAAATAGATCAACTAAATTGAATGTATGCGCGAAAACAACTGATCTTTACAACAAAGTAGCATTCCAGATGTTTATTAAGCTTTCGAATCACTAAGTTAATATAGTTCTACTCGCGATATTTATATCTAACTCTCGGTTACCATCCTCATTTTATAACTTCAACAGTGTCCTGAGGTCCGCGTGGACCCATCCCATGAAAACTACAAAAAATGATGGTTTTGCTTTACAAAAGATACCTATTTATATACTATAAATTTCCAAATACTTCTCTCTAGAAACTTGTTTATCGCTTCTTACAGAGGTAATATAAGAACGACCGATGTGAAGAAAAAGGGTTGACTCATACTATTTTTTATCAAAAAATAGCAAAAATTTAACAATTTTGAAAGAACTTATTTAATTTGAAAATAAATCAATACGCCACGGATGACAGTTATAAAAAAAGTAAAAAATCATATATAAACCATCATTGTTGTGATGAGGTCCACGTGGACTGATATCCGTATTTTTTCTCTCTTAGATCTATTCATGATCTTTTATCAGGATATTGTACAGCTACCAATACTCAGAGATTACAAAAAACAAATGATTCGAAACAGTAAATAGTTGTGTAGTACGGGACGAAAACCTGTAAAGTAGATCCACGCGGACTCCACAACAGTAATCAAGGGTTAAGTACACATAGGTACTTATACCCTAAGTTTCAGATTTATTACAAAGTTACGCATGAGAAAAAGTCTGTCTTCGAAGTTTGCCAGAGAGTTTAATAAAAAAATTTATATGAAAATACTTCTGGTACTTTTATAATGATTATACTTATTACAACTTTAAATAGTATCAACATCTTTGTCAACTAAAATTTGAATAACTACATAATTTTATTTTCATTCTTGTGGCAATGTACTTTTTTGTCGTCAGCATACCTATATATCATGAAAAATGAAGTGTTTCTTTGATAAACGTGGGAAGAACATGTTGATTTTACTCTAAATAATTTTGTCGTTAACACTTACTGCATGTATGTCAGATGAAGTGACAAATATAATTTTCTATCTTGATAAATAATTTGTAGGATGGTTATCCGTTCATTTGAAATTAATATATGTCTGAAACGAGTAATCATATCATAATTATATACTAATGTATTGGACGTATAATCATTGATTTAAAAAGAAAGTTTTTACTTGATAACTCTATTGATGAATGAGCTCTATAGTTTTTTAACTAAAAAAAAATCCTATTTATTTATTACTTCAAACTGTCACGATTAATTCTTATCCAAAAGTGAATTTATATATATATAATGCTAGAGTTATTGTTGTATGTTTTTTGTATACCTCATTGTTTCATCAATATACTTATAAGAAGTAATTTCCTTCTTCTAACATACTAACGTGCGTACATAATTTAAGATTGTAAGTGATCATCATGAAACTCTTGACTGTCATATAGACCTTAATGCTTAATGAAATTGAAAGATTATATAAAAAAACCAAATTATAAATCGGTTTAGGTTATATTAATAAGGATTCAACCACTCATTTTCCTGGAGGTAACATAAAATTTTATGGCGAAACTATTACTACGCATAATTTTAAAGAGAAAAAAAAACGTCATATAGTTACAATAAAAATAGACAGTCTTTATCCTTAATATACCCTCTATATATGTAGTTAATTAGAAAATGTTAGTTCACATTCTTTATTTTCTTATTATATGAAAGAAATATTTTTTCAAACATAAACATGTCAAATACATCTTCATATGAAAATACAGTCGAACTATTCAATAATTTCACACTTCAAATTGATCGATATTTTGCAGTACTTATATTTATATTTGCTGTTGTGGGTAATAGTCTTAATGTTCTTGTTTTATCACAACGAACACTACGTTCAAATCCATGTGCTTGGCTCTTTCTTACTTCAACTATAGCTGATCTTATTTCAGTACTATTTGGTCTTACAACACGTATTCTAGCTGGTTGGGCAACAGATCCAACAAATACAAATTCTTTGTTATGTAAATTTCGTGGATTTATTTTATTTAGTTCACGAACAACTGCATTTTGGCTTATTGCATTAGCGACTGTTGATCGATGGATTGCATCAAGTCGAAATGCTCGTTATCGACAAATGAATACATTAAAGAATATTAAAATCTGTTTTATAATAGTAGTTTTTATTTCAATTTTAATTTATAGTCAAATATTCTATTGTTAT